GGTTTTCCTGTATAGTAAGTTGTTGAAGGTCCGGCAAGCCCAAGGGCACAGCGGTGTAGGAATAATAATATTAACGTTAAGGTAACTTACCTTAGTTAATAGTAGAGTAAGCCAAGTAAGGCAGTATCCGATATTCGGACACGCCGGACACGATCTTCTGGGGATGAGCTAACCCCTTTTCAGATATTTTTACCGTGGTAGATAGCGGAGAGCCTTGCATACATCACCTGCACTTCTTGTTCAACCAGCTGGGTGGTGGGGAGCTGAGCAGTTGGATCTCATCCAAGTGCTCGGCTCCTGTCAATCATGGCGCAACCTGCAGCCAAGGGCTGAGTTTCTCCCCACTCGACTGTCTATCAGGCACCAGCAGGCCAAAGTAGGCTAAGGTAGCGTGCCCAAGGACTCGACTGCATCAACATAAAAGGCTCCGAGTCCGGGTTTCTCTGCTCGTCATGGGACCTACCTTGCCTCCTCTTCTCCAAACCCCTTACGGTTGTCCTGTCTTCCGTCGACTACCAGACCCTGGATCCCCTCAGAAATATCAGACCATCAATATGGCTTCGCAGTCCATCTACCAAGAAACCCCTGGACCCATCTCGAGAAGAAATCAGACTCATCGGATTCGCACCCTCTGATCCCAGAGACAAATCGGCTGTCATCAGCTGCACGCTACACACGAAATCACTTTTTGACAAAGCGTATTTCGTCGCCGTGTCGTACGTCTGGGGTAACCCGGAACCCACGACCGAAATTCTCGTCAACGGGGCACCATTCCAGACTACAGTTGATTTCGCCGCCGCCTTGGGTCAGGCAGTCATGCGCCCAAGCATATCCGCTTGGACAACAATGCCTCGGCTGAGTCTGACAAGAAGGTTGTATGGACGCCGGTGACGGCCGAGGGACGCCTATCGTTGCGGTTCTTGGCAGACGCCATCTGCATCAGCCAGCAGGATACTCAGGAGAAGAACCACCAAATCCCGCTGATGAGGGACATCTAGTAATCTACTCCGGCGCCCGGCTTGTTGTTGGCTCGCTGGGACACGGAGAAGATGTGCAGCTGGAAAACGGCGCTGCAGGTGCTAGAGGACATATGCTGCGCCTGCGAGTCGAAACTCATGCAACAGCTTTCCGGTCGCGCCGGCGGCACACTGTCTGGTGCAGACATCTCAGCGCTTGGTTTCGAGTGGTTCAAGTCGCTGCGCGACCTACTCCAGTTCGACAATGATTCTTCCGCCTTGCTCGATCATCCGCACTGGGGTGCTTTCTGGAACTTATCACGGAGGCCATACCTCAACAGGGTCTGGATCGTTCAGGAGATGAGATTGGCCAACGAACCCGTCTTTGTGAGCGACCGGCGCTCTTTCAGCCTTCTCGAGCACCGAAGCGGTTCTTGACACGCTTCTGCAATGGCCACATCTTAACATGAATTTTTTCGCCCGACCTGACTTCGTGCCACTTGAGGTATCGGCCGATATCATCTTCATGGCCCAGGTTTTACGTGCGCTGGGAACTCGACCACGTTTTGAAGAGCTATTTTCTGAGGGAAAAATATGGGACGTTCAGCTGGAGCGGCTGAAGCGCTCCGCAACGGACATGCGAGACCACGTCTACGGGGTGCTTCGTATTTCAAGCCTAAGCCTCAAGTGGATTACAACAAGTTGGTGATGGAGGTCTTTGCGGATATGATGAGACAATGTATCAAGAGACGGGCGCGGTCGATGACCTGGAGGACATCTTGTAATACGCTGGGGTTGGTTTGCCAAGCTACATACCAGGGATGTCGTCTTGGACGCCGTGCCCGCTGCTGGAGGGTTATGGCTATATCCTCGAGTATGCGGCCGCTGGCGTGTTCGCGACAAGGCCTGGCGCGTCGCAGATGGACAGAAGGATTTGGCCCAACATCACATGTCGCGACTTGACATTTTCTATGAGGGACGTCCGGTTCGGCAAGTCATTGGTGCGCACAGTATCCCCAATCTCAGCTCCACCAAGGATGAACGGCGCTTGGAATTCATGGAGTGGAATCTGGATCGTGAGACCCGGCCAAAGTCCCGGGCAAATCCCGGTTTCATGCCATGCTACGGACACTCCTCCCAGACCTGGCGAGGATGCTGAGACAGGGACTGGATGTTGAGGACGGGTTACCGGCCGATGAAACACGCCCACCTGCCATTATTGAGTTCTTAACGTGCTGCTGCCTCCGTTTGAGCACGGCAAATAAAGTCGGAATGCCACAAGGAAGTGCTCCGCCGAGTGTTGAACGATGTGCACGAGGTCGAAGAGCTCACATCCTATTCGGCCGCGCTAGTCGATGGTCTACCGAACACAATCTTTGGCTCGATAGCTTCTGCTAGAAACACAGTCTCTTTTTGAGACAGAAGGGGGATATCTCGGTCGTGGGCCGCCTGGATTGCAGGCAGGGGACACCGTCTACATTCTGGAAGGATCAAGATTGCCGGTTCTGTTGCGTCGACATGGTGACCACTACATTCTTGTCGGGGTGTGCTACATTCCCGACTTGATGGACCGGGGAGGTAACCGGCGCAAGGGTCAGGAAGGGAATGCCGCGGTGGAAGGTTGTAATCAAGTGAGCTCGGGCTACCCGGTGGCGGTGTGGACATGACCCAGGCGGAACCGGAAGCCACTATGGTAGTAGTACGTAATAATAATCAAGGATGCTAAATAGTATCTTAGTTACCTGGACCAACTTTGTCACCGCTTGTGGGACCAAAAGGGGTCGAGAATCTTACTCAGGGTATGCTGGTATGTGTTAGGTCTCTACTCTCCAGTCAACGAGAGGCCGCAGACCCGTGGGAGAATGGAGAGTAATTTAAACTGAAAGTTTCAAAATCGAGTATAAAACGGCACAAACTGTGGCTAGCGGTGTCTCTCCACATCATTGATCGACAGAGGCGAAAGCAAGAGACCGAATAGCTGTTGGTGATACAGCATAGGGGTATATAAAACAAGGAGGCACGTCCCATCAAGCCCAGCTTTGACTTAGACACCAACGGTGTCAAAATATGGTTACAACTCATACGGCCTGGAATCCTTGAAAATCAAATGCGGTTTGCGTTTTGCCAGGTTGAATATCGTCTCAGCAAACACCCCGTTGGCCCAAGCAAACCAGCTCCCTAACATACAGCACACAGGCCACATCAGCAGTTTCTCAAGCCTACAGCGGTGGAAGACAACACTTACGGGTGTATGATTGGGCATAATCTACGTTTACGCTCTCGTGTATCAGCCCCAGCTTGCTCGAGTTGAGCACCAGCCGCAGGCACTCCATGATCTCCTCGTCGTCATCCGACGTCTGCGCCTGCACCAGCAGGCTCATCGGCCACGCATTCTGCAGGCCGATGTGCGGTCCTGTCTCACCCAGTCAGTCAGTTAGACAATCGCCTCTTTACCGTCCCCTTCCCGAAACCACAGTTGCCCGGTTCATAATCCAAGGTACGTAAGCGGGTACCATGCAGTCAAAATCAAACGTACCTCCAACTCCCTTAAACTCCTTCCCCGTCAAAAAGTACGGATTCCCCGCCTTGTCCAACAACATCCGCCTCGTATTCCGATACGTCTCGTCCCCGGTATCCACAAACCCCATCAGCGGCAGGGCCAGCAGGCTCGGATAGTCTACCAACATTGTCAGCTGTGAATTTCCTCTTTCGGAAATGTATGGAGGGGGTTTCAGGAAGCAAATGCGCTATCTCGGGAGCAGGATGGCTCCTGAGACAGCCATAAAGGGGGTAAAAACAGTCCACCAACAAAGAAAATTGTTGCTTACTGGCGTCGTCCATGAGCAGCATACTTCCGTATCCATCCACCTCGTACGCGAACACGTCACCGTGCGTGCGGTGGCGCACCACGCCGTGCTCCCAGATCCCGCGCGCGATGCGCGCGCTCCAGTCCGACAGCGTCTGGGCAAGCTCGGCGTCGTTGGCCGAGGACTTGGCCTGCTTGATGATGGACGCGGTGCGGTTGAGCTCGACGGCCATTTGCGCGTTGGCGGGGATGAAGAAGCCGAAGATGGTGGCGTCGTCGCTGGGACGGAACGCGGAGCGCACCAGGCCCGTGCCGTTGTTCAGCGGGTTGCCGATGCCGCCCAGGTTGAGCGTCTCGGTGCCCGTGTTGGTGCGGCGCTGGAAGGTGTAGGCGTTCTGCTGGTAGGAGCCCGTCTCCGGCTCGAAGGTGCTTTGGCTTTGGGCGTCGAGGACGGATAAGAGAGTGTGGACGGCCTTGTACCAGCGCGGCGTGAGAAACTGTGTGCTGCCCGTGTGGTGGTGGAAGTCGTTGGCCAGCGCGAGGAAGTGGGCGAGTGAGTCGAGCTCGTATTTGCATTCGAAAACGACGTTGGGCTCGTAGATTGGGTGCACAGCGTCGTCCTGCCCGTTGTAGCTGATGGGCAGTCCTGAGACAGGGGGTGGTTGGAAGGCGTTACAGTAGGGCGATGAGATTACGTATTCGCTCTGGGTGTTGATGGCGCCTAGAATCAGGTTGAAGATGGCCTTGTCCTTCGTGGCTAGTGGTTGGTAGGGCTTCAGTTGGTTCGTGCTGTCCCGCAACCACTCGGCTAGGATGTCTCCCGTGATGATGAAGGATTGGGGCCCCTCCCACTCGCCCTCATCGAGCCAAGCGTCCTTTTCCCTCCGGCTGCGCAGCCTCTGCTTGATCTTCTCGTCCTTTCCGTCCGTGTGGAACTTGACTGTCGTGTCGGTAGTGGACGGGAAGGCGTTCTCAAACAGCCGGGCAAGATCAGCGTCTTTCATCCGCGAGGTGATGTCGGCGATGACCTTCTCGATGGCGTCCGAGTGAAAGGTCCGGCAGCGCGGATCGGGGCGCTGGAATGGGAGCTTGAGGGGCCCGTTGCTGAGAGGTGGGCTTTGGCGCGATCAGCCTGGGACCGTGATTTGTCGCCTTGGACTTGGGATATGTAATGGCACTCACTGTGGGTAGGTGGAATAAGTGGCATAGTCTGGACAGGCAGCCTTGTCAAACTTGCCCGTCAATCGCTCTTGGTTGCCATCCCGGCCTCCTGATGCCGCTGCCGTGGCCAGCAATGCCACCGCAAGCGTGCACCACGACAGTCGAATCATGTGATGCGAGGTAGCTCGCTTGATTAGAGAGGGAGCAAGCACGACTGCTCTGCAAATCAATTGAGCAAGCACTCTGAAGGCTGATGTTCGAGTTACACACTGAGCACGTCGCCTCGGCAACACGGCCCCATCTCTGTGAGTGAAATCCCGCAGAGTTAACCGACTGGCTAAAAAACCGAGGAGGAGCTCTGAGTTGAACGGACAGACGTTACATGATGCCTTCGGCAGAGACTCGTAACACGAGCACGGTTCGGCCCCGCAAGCCGGCTTGGCGGGGAGATCGGTAAGAGAGGTGGGGTAGCCCTGTGTAAGGTAAGTAACGTATGTATTGTATGTCGAACAATACCGCCAATAGGTAAGGTATTCGCCAGATACCCCTGCGGGGTCCCCCGAACTCGCCCGACAACTACAAACCACAAGCAAGTATGGTGTTGAATACTCTGGAGCCACGCCGTCACAGAGCTGCAGTTCTCTGGAGAGAAACTTGGAGTGGTATCAATTGAGATAGAAGACGAAGCTATCTGCATGATACCCAGGCAATAGTGCTTACTTCTTGGAGAAGAAGGACATGATGCTTCCCTGGCCTTTAGGGCCGCCCTTCTTTGGCTTCGTAGCCTGTGCCGGAGTTGAAGAAGTCGCAGTCCTGGGCTTGCTTTGAGGGGGCGCTTCATCCTCCGAAAAGGACTCCCAGCCTGGCTCTTGAATTGTGACTGCGATGGAGAATTAGCTTCAGCAGCCAGGTCAGTGTAGATACTCTCAACATACCTAGATACCCCTGATCATCCATAATCTGCTTCTTGCGCATGACCCGTCTCTTGCCGCGTCGACGGCCATTGGCTGCAGCCGTAACCACCTCTGTCTCCTCCTCCTTGACGGGTTCCGGCGCTGCTGGTTCCACCTCCATGGGTTCTTCCTCAGGCGTGTCTTCCTTCTCCGGTGTCTCGTCTTCATCGTCGTCGTCCTCTTCCATCATCCGTTTCAGCGCCTCCTCCCTCTCCTTCTTGCTCATGAACCCGGAAGCGCTACGTGCTTTGGGTTGCGGCAACTCTTCGTCGTCCTCTCCGTCATCGGACAATGGCTGCATATTCGAGTCGTGACCGTTGGCTTCGGCAAGTTGTGGGGCTTCTGCTTCCTTCTTGACCTTTGCTGGTTTGGATGCGGCTTTGGAAAAGGCCTGCATAATGCCTGAGCTGGCACCACGCTTAATGGGCGGTGCGAATTTTTTGGCTGGCCCGAGAGAAGCTTTGTCGGCCGTCTCCTGAACAGGCTGGGCAGGTTTTGACTCCTCCTTGACCTTTGCAGATGCCGGCACTTGTGCGGGCTCTGAAGAGCCAGGCTTTGCTTGCATCTTAACTGCAGCGGTTGCTGCGGCCGCGGCCTTCAGACCAGCTTCCTGCCGCTCTCTGCGGCGCACTCTGGGATTGATTATGGGAGCAAGACGCTTTTGGTCAGCCCCGGTGCCAAGGCTAAGCACTTGGTTGGCTGCATCGACAAGGAGAGCCATGTCCTGTTGCACCATCAGTCGTCAGGTCCCTTGAACCTGCAGAGTGTGGCATCAAACCTTTGCTGGGTGAGGGCCGATGCTGTAGACATGAACTGAGGTGACCTCGTCATATTCTGCAAGAGCCTCTCGAGTTCGGTTAGTGAAGCGTTCTCCAACTTTGCAATGGAGACCAACCTTTCAGTCGCTCCTCAGGAACTAGAGAGAGCGTGGATGTGGGCACAACTTCGGTAAGCGACTCGACCTCGGGCGCTGAACTTGACATATCGATGTCGCCATCAGTGCCATTCGGCGATGCTGACGGCCCATCGCTCGCCCTCTTTGTGCCGTACACCAAGTAAGTGGCATGCACAGCTCCCGGACGCTTGGCATTCTGGCTCCTGTGGAACTCGTACAACATCCTGAAGCGTGTTAGTTCCAACCAGATCATAGCGAATAGCTTCGACCATACTGCTTCGCTGAATTGACATGCACCTGAAGTGCTCGGCTCAGGAACCGATACGTGACCTAGCGAGTTCGAGGTTCATCGTCAGCCAGTGCTCCATCACCAATTGTCCGAAGCAAGAGGACAATAGAAAGGCATACCACTTTGTCTTCTGTAAGGACATTCTCAGCCAGGAACCTGTTGTATGTATCCATTGCTGATGGCCGATGCTATTTCAGCTCCTGCAGCACCTTGGTCGATCAGTTTGTGAAATATTGAGTGATGAAAGGGTCGCGACGCGATCTCATGCCTAAGGTAACTACACTATGTAGCGCGAAGTCACGTTTTCGCCAATCAAAGCCCTGCAGCGGATCACGCTGCCGTGGCTTGCACCCCTGGCCTCTGGCCTGCACGTAGCCCGGCCAAGCCCTGACGGAGAATCGGCTGCTGATTCGCCAGGTCTTGACTGGATGAAATTGAAGCTTTGGATGGATCTCTCATCAAGGTGCCCAGTGTGCTTATTCCATGGCATCTGCCACAAGGGTTCTTTCTCGTTGTCCATTGCATCTCCTCCTTCAAGGGGCGCGCCATGATTTGCCAAAATTCTCTGATTTCGTCCGTTTGACTCGAAATCACCGGATTCTGGTGTTGTCGCCAGCTGCTTCGCCTTAGCATCGAGCGCCAACTCAACAGTTGCTGTCATCGGCGTCCAGGCGCATTGCGCATACTGGCGCCATGGCTTCCTCTCCACGATTTCGCTTCTTAGCGATTGCCGTCATCTTCCACTTCGTGTACATATTTTCCATCTTCGACATCTACTTCGTCAGCCCTATCGTCTCGGGCATGCGTTTGTTTCAGGTAGAAAGGCCACCATCGGCCCCAGCGCCTGCCGACCGTCTGGTGCTTTTCGTCGGTCCGTTAAACAATTTACCATATCCCCACACCGAAGGAACAATTGCTGATGGACTCATGGCACAGGCGACGGTCTGCGCGCCGATAAAGCCTTCCAATCGCATCCCGAACCCTATCCCGAGACCGACGATGACCTTGTCCCGCGCCCACTTGCCCCTTTTCTGCGGTCTAGAGTGCTCCAAGAAGGAACCTTTGGCGTCTCCCACACGCGCGTGCCCACCGAGTCCCGGCCGGGACATGTTGCTCTCATCGCCGGCCTTTATGAAGACGTCTCCGCCGTGACGACGGGTTGGAAGCTGAACCCAGTCAACTTCGACAGTCTCTTCAACCGCAGTCGGCATACATGGAGTTGGGGCAGCCCCGATATCTTGCCAATGTTCCAGTATGGCGCAGTTCCGGGCAGGGTGGATGCTTTTATGTACGGAGCTGAACTCGAGGATTTCTCCTCGGACGCGGTTGTGCTGGATCTCTGGGTGTTCGACCACGTCAAGGAATTCTTCGCCGAGGCTCGGACGAATAAGACGCTCAACGATGCGCTTAGGCAGGACAAGGTTGTCTTTTTTCTCCACCTGTTGGGATTGGACACGACAGGACACGGGTTCCGGCCGTATTCGAAGGAGTACCTCCACAACATCAAAGTGGTCGACGAAGGGGTTCGCGAGATCACCGAGTTGATCAATGATTTCTACGGCGACGACCGGACAGCCTTCGTCTTCACAGCTGATCACGGCATGAGTGACTGGGGAAGCCACGGCGACGGCCACCCCGACAACACCCGGACTCCCCTGATTGCTTGGGGCTCAGGGGTTGCCAAGCCCCAGCTCTATCCCGGAGAAGTCGCGCCTGGACACGACGAGTACTCTTCCGATTGGAACCTTGACCATGTCAGGAGACACGACGTCGCGCAAGCTGATGTTGCTGCTCTCATGGCCTATCTCGTGGGCACCGAGTTCCCCGCGAACTCCGTGGGCGAGCTGCCCTTGTCCTTCCTGACAGCTGATCTCAGAGAGAAGGCCGAAGCATCGCTGGTCAATGCGCAAGGAATTCTAGAGCAGTACCGGGTCAAGGAGGAGAAGAAGAAGGTTACCGAGTTGAGGTACAAGCCTTACAGACCGCTGAGTCACGAGGGCATGGAGCCCGAACGTCGGGTGGCTCACATCCGCCAGCTCATTGAGGCCGGCAGTTACGAAGAAGCAATCGAGGAGTCGGCCGCTCTCCTGAAAGTCGGTCTCGGTGGTCTCAGATATTTGCAGACCTACGACTGGTTGTTTTTGCGGGCTCTCATCACCACAGGGTATCTGGGATGGGTGGTGTATGCGCTTACCACCGTCATCGACCTCCATGTGCTGCATGGACGCGTGCAGCCTTCTAGGACGTTGGCTGGGACCTTTGTCTCATCTTCTGTCTTGACTTCGCTCTACGCGTCATTTGTCATCTCGAAGTCTCCGCTTACCTACTACGCATACGCCTTCTTCCCGGTTTTCTTCTGGGAAGAAGTTTATGCCCGGCGTGAGAGCTTGGTGATGGGTCGGAAGAAACTGTTTGCTCATGTCAAGTCAGGGGGCAGCCTTGCGTCGTTGCTATTTAACTGCGCCGTTTATGTTGGAATTATTGAATCGTTGGTAAGTCGAGTTGGGCCCTTCATTGTGTTAGCGCGCGAGCTGACAAATGCAGGCTCTGGGTTATATCCATCGCGAGGTCCTGACCGTTCTGTTCATCATCGGCGCTTTCTGGCCTCTTTCATACGGCTTCTCATTCCTGCAACAACATGCCGCACTGTCCATCACATGGTTCCTCTCCTGCGTCGCCATGAGCAGCTTTACACTTCTTCCGGCTATGAAGACCGAGGATGTGAACCTCATGTCAGTTTGTCCGAAACCGCAATCTCATGAACCGAGCTAATCACGTCCTTACAGCATCCTTGGAGGTGTGCTGATGGTAGTTGTCGGCATCTTATACCTGGTTTTGGAGGACTTTGTCCTTGCAGACTTCACCTGGTCAGAAGAGCCTTCCCGGCGAAATCATGTTTCAAGGACGCTCGTGGGCATCCAGGTCGGCCTGACCCTCCTCTCCATCGTCGTCACTCGGTCTAGCGCCCTGTCGATACAGGCCAGACAGGGCCTTCCGCGAGGCAACCAGATCATGGGCTGGTTTGTTCTCGGTCAGTTAAAAGATCTGCGCATATCAAGTGGGATACTAACCCATCAGCAGTGGCTTCTCTCCTCATGCCGTTAGCGCATCGTCTACAACCCAACAATCACTACATGCACAGGATCATGGTCATCTTCCTCACCTGCGCCCCTACCTTTGTCATCCTGACTATCTCCTACGAAGGACTCTTCTACCTGGCCTTCTCTGCGACCCTGGTCAGCTGGGTCCGCCTCGAGCACGCCGTCTTCAAGTTCTCCGCATCCAGCTCCTCGTCCTCATCTTCAGTCACCAAGAGCCCCGCAGCACCCGCCCAGGCGAACGGTTCCTCAACACCCGCTAAACAACGCCAATCCCCCCTCGAAACCTCGCGAACGCTCACCTTCCCCTTCCGCCCGTTGACCCTCCACGACGCGCGCGTGGCCCTGTTCTTCTTCGTGCTCCTGCAGTCAGCCTTTTTCAGCACTGGCAACGTCGCGTCGGTCTCGTCCTTTAGCCTCGACAGCGTCTCGCGCCTCATTCCCATTTTCAACCCCTTTACGCAGGGCGCCATGCTCATCCTCAAGATCATGATCCCCTTCGCCCTCATTTCGGCCAACCTGGGCATTCTCAACAAAAGACTCGGCATCGCGCCCTCGGCGCTGCTCATGGTGGTCATGGCCATCAGCGATATCCTGACGCTGTATTTCTTTTGGGTGGTAAGGGACGAGGGGTCGTGGCTCGAGATTGGGTCGACGATTAGCCATTTTGTGATTGCGAGTCTGATGTGCATCTTTGTGGCTGCGCTGGAGGGCGTCAGCGCCATGTTTATTGCTGGGGTCGAGGTTGGGAGCGATGTGGTCAAGGCCGTTGCCGAGGGGCAGGTGGCAGAAGTGTTGTTGGAAAGGGCGAATGAGGCAGTCGAGCACCTGCCTGGGGTTGCTGGTGATGATGGTGCTGGTGGGAAGTAGGGGGTAGAGGTAATGGTTTCATGTACATATAGAAGGGTAGCATTTGGAGAATATTGCATAAAAGGGTGGTTCTGATGCTGGGAAAATCAGAAAAGGGTTCGATCCGGTGATTCAAGAGATACAGGTGCTTGATGTTGCGTGTTACAGGTGATTGTTGCCGCAGATGTTGCTTCAGCCACCTGGAGCCTGATAGGCTTTGGAGAAAGGTGTCGCTGTATGGGAAGTATGGCATGCACGGACGAAAGGAGGTGCAGATCCGTAGAATCACATGCAACGTCTTGGAACAGATTGTCAGGTTGATATTGTCCACAGCCTTGACGTCCGATGCTTCGGAATGTAGCTTCACAGTTTGGTAAGTTGGTCTTGAGAAGTTTGAAGGTCAGGGGTTCTTCCACATCTCATAGGGTTTTAGGTAGTTAGGGGAAATCAGGACGACATGTCACCACTTACCATGCCAGGTCTGGCCTACCTGGGGCATGGCGAATCAAATCATACCTACCTTACCTTGCTTCTTTTCCTCAGAAACCTGAGCCAAAGCCCTGGGCTGCTGGATCTTCGCCGTCGATTTCCCAGCGTTCTCCGAACCAAGATTTTGTGTGCGATTTACTGAAGGTAAGCCCGGGTGCCCGGGTCTGAGACGGGGGACCACGGAGCGGTCCGGATCGAGAGCCAACCGGCTATTTATCGCTCAGTCTCTGAGGAGCTGCACTAACAGGCGGATGCAGCTCCGACTGTGAGGGGAAATCGCGGGGTAAACCAAGCGGGGTCCACGGTGTTCGTGGCTGTGATGAATGGCTATGCCAGTCTGGGAAGCCGCTCTTCTGCCAGAAACCGTTTCGATCTTTTGCTGATATTTACGTCACATCGGTGGCCCTCAGGCGTCCAATGCTAGCCAAGATCGTTATGGTACTGACCTTACGCATAAGCATAGCTCTCAACGCAAATGGACCGACAACGGATATGTTTGTGCGCCATGGAGCTGAATTCTGGTCACTCGACAAGCGTAACTCGCCTGTCCAGTACAGGAAGTCTGCTGCGCTGTACAATGGCACAGCCAGGAACGGTGGGGAGAGTTAGACGGCGAGATAGGAACCGCGACAGAGGGGTAGTGCTCTGCCAAGAATACATTGGTCCATCGAGGTAAGAGCAAGACGAGGGGACAGACAAGACCAGTTCCATTGTACATACTCTGATTGAAAATTCACCAACGAGCGGAAGCAGTTGATTACCGTCGGACCGTCGTTAGCTTGCGGACTTCATTCCTCGGACAATTCCGTAGACCTACCAAGTTTAGATGTGAAGGATGTGGAGCGGAGTGAGCGAGACTGCCAAGGACGCCCCCCGTGCTCCCCAGACTCAAGCATGCGGCCGCTACTTCCCCATCGGTTTGGTCATGCTGCCCGCTAAATCTCGGGTAGTCCTGCGGCCCAAGCGTCCTGACGGGCTTTGCCAGGTGACCAACCAGAAGTTCGTCTGGAATTGAGTTGCGTCCGGCACTCTGTCACATGCAATGATGGAGACGGGAGTTCTATGTACAGCTCCTTGCGCATCGTTCCAGTTTCAGTACAACCTGAAAGGCCTGCTCCAGTGTATGGAGATGGAGAAGGGGTTTGGGAGGATGCAGGCCAGCAACAGACGGGATGAACCCCATCTCAGGGGACTATCCGAGAAAATCTCGCGACTACGATAGATTTGGAGCAGATCGGGTTAGTACTGGTATGAGAGCAGGCTGCATCTTTGACGATGCGGCGCTTGCCAAGAACATGACCCCTCGACGGGGCTTTCCAAGGTACCATCCAGGTTGCACTAAAAAGCCGCTGAAATCCGGGGTTGGCAGCTGGAGGCCCGCAAGAGTGTGGGCACCACCCTCCAGAGCACGCTTGCGTCGAGTCGCGCAGCCGTTTCGAAAGGACATGCATCCCGTCGGTTCGAGACAAGGAGCCAACCACCCCAACAACATCTCACGGCGACAGCAAAGATTCTAATCTCCTGACTATACCCCGCGTTCCGTATTCCTATTCCAGCAAATAAGCCGGTCTTGCGGTCCCAGCGAGAGATATTCTCTAATCGTAGCGCCGGATTCATCTCCTCGAGACGGGACGGGGCGATCTGAGAAGGTCAGTGGCCGGAACACGACGGGAGCGCCGGATTCGTCGGTTGAGGCGACTACCCACGCGACACGCATCTCTCGCTTGATCCCGCCAGCGTCGCCCATTCAACACCACACCAAGCAGTCAGTATCCAACACCCGACATATCCGCCGCGATGGAGGTCGATTCAATACCTCCGGGCCATGGCGCATCCCCGAAGCAGTCGTCGAGATCGCCGTCCCAACCATCCACGACACCATCCGCGTCGGCAGGCACGACGACAACCACCACAACCGCGGGGCAGATGAGCTTCAGGAGGTTGGTCCTCTCTCGGCGCAGATAAGGGGCGGTTTGCGCTGACATTAGTTTTCTGCCGACATCAAGACAACGAGCTTCAAGAGCATGCGAAGTGAGTACCGGCTAAGTTATATTTGGTCGCAAGTCAATCCAGTCATGTTGTGGCAGTGGGTTTGACAAGAGACCCTCTCCGAGGCTCTCTGAGCGATTGCGACGGCCTCGCCTATCTTGCCTCGGCTCATCCGCCGCTCCGGTTATCTTGGGATCGCGAAGCTGACCAGTCACCGCCTTCCAGACATGCCACGCCCGCAAAGTACGGATTCCCTGAGCCCATTACACCCACAGATCCACCGAGACGCACTCTCTTTTCGGAACATGGATGCTCACTTCACCATTTGCAGGTCCGCTGTGATGCTGCGAGCCTCGGTGTCCCTTGTACCAACTGCGTCGCCTTCCAGATTGAATGTCGGATCCCAACGCCGAAACGGAAGAAGGTGCACAACACCGCTGTGCCATCCAGAGATTCTGACAGGTACTCCAGTCGCTTTAATACGTGCTTTTCCTTGGCCGCGGGCATCCGAGGCTGCAAACTGCCCCATCCGCTCCTGCAAGGCCAGCCCGACGGACCATTTTGTCGCTCGCTGCTCCTTGTGCCGCGTGATGTGATGCTGACCTGACGGTAGCGATCGAGGAGACGACGACCGATCCCCTCTGCCGCCTGGCACGACAACCTTCCCCAGCGGGACCCGACCTCCGGCTGTCTATCACACCCATGAGGGAACGCCATCGAAGGCGAACGTGGAGGCAGAGCAACAGAAGAAGGAGGAATTTGACAATGCTACACTGGCAAACTATATGGATCTCGTCATGAAGCCGAAGTTCACGAGAGCACCAATCACCGAGGCTGGGAGGGTGGCATACCTGGGCGAGTCATCCAACCTCACGCTCTTGGTACACGACCGCCAAAGGGACGGAGATGTAGTGCACTATCCCCTGCCAGAGAACATCAGGGGCTCCAGGGCACGGTTGACCGAGTTGGACAATGTCGAGATTGACATCTTGCATCAACGAGGAGCATTCCTCCTCCCACCACGGGCTCTCTGCGACGAGCTCATCGATTCCTACTTCAAATGGATCCACCCGATCGTCCCCGTCATCAACAAGACCAAATTCATGCGCCGGTATAAGGATCCCAAGAACCCGCCATCATTGCTCCTTCTGCAAGCTATGCTGCTCGCAGGCTCACGCGTCTGCACAAATTCGCAGTTGATGGATGCGAACGGCTCGTCAACGCCAGCTGCCCTGACGTTCTACAAACGAGCCAAGGCTCTGTATGAAGCAAATTACGAGGATGACCGCGTCACCATCGTCCAGTCCCTCTTGTTGATGGGCTGGTACTGGGAGGGCCCCGAGGATGTCACCAAGAACGTCTTCTACTGGACTCGGGTAGCGACCACGGTTGCGCAGGGCTCAGGAATGCATCGCAGTGTGGAGGGGTCGCAGCTCAGCAAGTCAGATAAGAGGCTATGGAAGAGGATTTGGTGGACTCTTTTCACCAGAGACAGGTCCGTAGCTGTTGCCCTGGGCCGGCCGTGTCAGATTAACCTCGAGGACTCGGATGTCGAGATGTTGACAGAGGACGACTTCATCGAAGACGAGCCTGACCAGTTCAGCGAGTACCCGCCGGATCCGATTCATGTGCAATTCTTCCTCCAGTACGTCAAGCTGTGCGAGATCATGGGCCTCGTGCTTTCGCAACAATACTCGATTGCGGCAAAGGGACGTCGGCATAATCCTATCGATCTGACACACAGCGACATGGCGCTCGCCGACTGGCTCCAGAACTGCCCCAAGATCGTGTACTGGGAGATGCCGAGGCACCACTTCTGGTCCGCCTTGCTACATTCAAACTACTACACCACTCTCTGCTTGCTGCATAGGGCCCATATGCCACCAAGCGGCTCTCACAGGTTCCCGGATGAGTCTGTTTACCCGTCCCGGAATATCGCCTTCCAGGCCGCAGCCATGATCACATCCATCATTGAGAACCTCTCGGCCCGGGGGGAGCTTCGGTACTGTCCCGCATTCATCGTCTACAGTTTATTTACGGCCCTCATCATGCACGTCTATCAGATGAGGTCGCCCATACCATCCATCCAGCAGGTGACGCAGGACCGCATTCGAACGTGCATGGGCGCCCTCAGAGACGTATCCAAGGTGTGGCTCGTTGGCAAGATGGTGCACACACTGTTCGAGTCAATTCTCGGAAACAAGGTCTTTGAGGAGCGGCTCCAGAAGGCGGGAGGCAAGAGACACCGCAAGGCGCAGCAAAGCTTGTCACAGCTCGAGCAACATCGTTATGCGCAAGAGCAGAAGCGAAAGTACGACGAGATGGCGATCGACTTCAGCGTGAGCACACCCCAGCCGCCAGAGTCGTATGAGCGCTCCCGACCGCAAACACCAAGCCTCGCGCCGAAAACGGAGCAGGCACCCGGTGCAATGCCACCTCCCGCCAATGCATCGCCGCACGTGCGGAACAATGGCGACACCTTCATGGGCGGGACCGCTTCGCGCTCTCACACTCGGCCAGCAACCCCCTTCAACCCATCCTTCTCGGTGCCCGCAACGCCCCCGGACCTCTACCTCGTCACCCGCAATTCGCCGAACCTGTCGCAGTCCATCTGGGAGAATTTCCAACCGGACCAACTCTTCCCGGAGAGCGCGCACGTCCCGCTGTTTCAGCAATTCTCACCTCCCCAAGCTAACTTGGACGCGCACATGATGGCGCAGATGCAAAACCAAAACATTCAGGGCCCGCCGCCGCCGCCGATAGACGCGAGCGGGCAGAATGCGTATGCTGGGCAGGGTGGTGGTGGAGTGCCTGAGAGGGGCATGGCCGGGCTGGCGCTGCAGCAAAACACCATGCTGCAGCCGGGCATGGCGGCGGGGACGGCGGCGAGCGTTGGGTTTCAGAGTCAGGGACACCAACAGCAAGCCGGCGGCAATAACAGCAGCACGTGGCATGGGTTCGATGGGGCGCCTGTCACGGACGGGCAGAGCCCGACCGATAGCTGGAGTACCAGCTCGGCGCAGGGGCAGCCCGTGCCGTCGACGTTGAACGTGGAGGACTGGTGGGTGCTTTACTCCTTGCTTACTGAAAGTTATGGAAGACGCTGACTTGGATCCACACAAATAGGTTCCAATTCTTTGGCATTCATAATGAACCGGGCAACCCGATCAACCTTGATAATCTCCCGCTGGGTTAGGCGATTCAAGGGGTGTGGGTGGCGTTGCACACGGATTGCGTACGCAGCGACTGGGAAAATGATCATAGCATGCGTTGTGTTTGCGGTTTTCCGTTGTGGGCGGCCGCGGTTGGTTGTCTCTTTACAGAGTACGCCAACAGGATAGGCAGCTCATCAAGGGTAGGGAAAGGTGGCTACTCCTTGAAGTTAAAACTATTTACGCCGTGGCTTGTTGTAGCGAGTGCAAACCGGCGCTTTTTTTCGAATATGGAAAAATCTTGACAACCATTGGGCCGCTCGGGAACAAAGAATGAAGAGGTGCTGATCGAAATCTAGCCGTCGGCACTTGGGATGCACAACATCGTCACAAGGTTGGGCCGCAGATTGGGCCGCACGCGCAACCGCCATGGCGTTCAGGGCGCCACGCCAGGCAGGGCATTGGATGTGATGATGGGCTTCTGCAGAGCCGTTGAAGATCGGTAAATCTAGGTATTGACATCCACATCACTCTGTCGCTTCGGACGGCGGTGCTGGAGTGAGGAGCAGAGGGTTAATGAAGGTCAGAGTATGTACGTACTTGTGCATGTAGCTCACCTTCTGTTGATCGTCTGTTGTTCAGGGGGTTATTCTGTGGGCTCGATCATCTCGGCCCGGCCCATCCCATCTCGACAAGTCGCAAGATAGACGGATGCAGGCGCACGGGTCCCGCTTGAGTGACGGCATCGTCTTTGGTTCGAGATCGTCCATCGGACTTCACCTCCTTCCTTTTCCTTACTCGTGTACGGATTAGTGTGTGAACTACATACATCCCTGCCATCTGCTCGGCGCTTCTTTGGGGCTTAAATTGGAGCCAATGGCTGGGTGTGGATGGACTCTTGGCTTGGAATTCTGCGGCAGCCGGCCGGCTAATGGAGGGGTATAATGGTTGCTTCGCGAGGTTCTTCGGATTGTCTTCTGCAATGTATGTACATACCCTGAGGTCATACATCATAGATGATTACAAAGGAAAACTGGGCTACCTAGTGCGCGGGCGAAAGGAGACTGTTGTGGTCTATAATGCGAGGGGTAGAATACCAGAGACAAAACGGTGTGATGTGATGCGGGACTTGCAGGGAGACACTAAGAAATATTAAGCGCAGTTGATGCTGAAGTTGATGGATGGTACATCCGTACAGTAGTTGATAAACTTGACAGGCCGGTCGCTGTCCAAACCCCGCTACCTAAGAGACGACGGCGGGTTCCTCCACGAGGGGATAAACCCTGGGTTGCTTGCTTGTGAGAGTGACTCAGTCTGCGAGGTGCGAATGACTGTGGCGCCTTTTGGTCGCTGTGGATCAACGACGCGCTTGCCAGACTCTTCACCTCTCCTTGCAAATTCCGGCTTGGAATCTCATCTGAACTCTGTCTGGACCACAGGGGTTGATCAGGACAGCGGGCTACCTACGGCGGGGTGATGGCTCCATTGTGGGTGAAGTAAAGCAAGAGTACCCAAACACATGGTCTGATTGGTTTCAAGAAACCTGTCGACCTCTGACCAGCGGCCACATTTCCAGGCTTACCTCGAATAATTGCCTGCTCAAACGCGCAACGCCTCCTCAGACGCGCGGACTTGTTGGTGCGCTTGTTGGCTCGTGAAATTGCTGCGGCTAACAGGCGAGACTGTCCGTTGTGTGGGTTGGCATGCGATTGGGCAGGGATCTGTCCTAACAGAATCAAGCAAAGGCAGGCCCGAGGTCAGGCGTTGACGTTAACTTCGCGCTGCGGGAGACCCCGCTACGAGAGTGCTGATCCCTGCCGCCTAGGCAGGGCACCTCTGCCGCTTGCCGCTGCGCCTTCCACTGCTGAACCTGGAATGGCAATGACCTGTACTAACCACTAACCTGGAACTACTCCATTCCCAAGAAATCACCTGTCACCTTCATTCTCCATCCCCTCTTCCGCTCTCAATGCTGCCGTCAATGAAGATGCACAAGATTGTCGCATAACTTGCAGCCCCTTTCCGGGTAATTCAAGACGCAGTTACCAAGCACTCCGTCGACGATCTCGGCTTTGGCCTGGCGGCATCGAGAACCCCGCCTGACCCGACTGACCAACGGAGCGGCGCATCATCCATCGTTCTCAGTTCTCCTATTGTCTCGCCCAGCCAGCGCATTCAAAAAGACTCTTAGACAGCACGGTTTCCCGTGCGTGAAATTGGTCGACACCAGCGGCGCTCACCGAGTCTCATCACCGCCATCCACCCGGTGCAGGCCCAGGCGCTGCCCAACATGACGCAAGCGCCCATGATCTCGGTGCCTCTCAAGGCCACCAACGAGATCGACTGGATTACTCCGTTGAAGTCCTACATTCAGAATACGTACGGCGACGACCCCGAGCGATATGCCGAGGAGTGCGCAACCCTCAACCGGCTGCGCCAGGACATGCGGGGAGCTGGGAAGGACAGCACTGCTGGAAGAGATCTGCTGTACCGCTACTATGGCCAACTTGAGCTGCTTGACCTGCGCTTTCCAGTCGACGAGCAGCATATCAGGGTCTCCTTTACCTGGTAATATCCTCCTAGCCCGACACCACCACTCCCTCCCCTCCACGCGCTACACCCCACCTCGGTCTGGTTCCCCGATCTAATTACCCATGGCGCAGGTTCGACGCTTTCACACACAAAGCCACGTCACAGTACTCACTGGCCTTCGAAAAAGCCTCCATCATCTTCAACATCTCGGCCGTTTTGTCCTGTCACGCTGCCAATCAGACCCGGAGCGAAGAGTCGGGCCTCAAGCAGGCATACCATTCCTTCCAGGCTGCGGCCGGCATGTTCACCTATATCAATGAGAACTTCTTACATGCCCCGTCCTCGGACCTGAGCAGGGACACGGTCAAGTCCCTCATCAACATCATGCTTGCCCAGGCGCAGGAGGTTTTTCTCGAGAAGCAGATCACCGACCAGAAGAAGATTGGCCTCCTGGCGAAGCTGGCAAGTCAAGCTGCTACTCTGTACGGCCAGGCGCTCGAGGGCGTGCAGGAGAATGTCACCAAGGCGATATTTGAAAAGGTCTGGCTGTTGATGGTCCAGATCAAGTTCAACCTCACGTCTTCGATCGCCCAATATTACCAGGCGCTTGCGGACGACGATGCGAACTCACACGGCATGGCCGTCGCCCGTCTCAAGGTGGCCGAGAGTCATGCCCGAGAAGCTAACAAGATCGCCAGCAACTTCCCCAGCACTGTACCTCCAAGCTCGAACCTAACAGCAGATTGCGGTATCATCTTGGCCGACATAACTAAGCGGCATCTGGTTGTGGTTCAACAAAAGCTCAAGGAGCTGACGAAGGACAATGACTTCATCTACCACCAACCAGTACCCGATCCGGCAGGCGTGCCGGCTGTGGCCAAGCTACCTGCCGCGAAACCCATCCCAGTCAGCGAGCTCTATGCCGGGCAAGACATTCAGCGCATTACCGGGCCTGATCTCTTTGCGAAGATCGTACCTTTAGCCGTTACCGAGTCGGCCAGCCTGTACGACGAGGAGAAGGCGAAGCTGGTGAGAGCTGAAACGGAGAGGGTGGATACCGCCAACAGCGAGATGGCCGCGAGCTTGGACTATTTGAGACTTCCCGGCGCCCTGCAGGTCCTCAAGGGCGGCTTCGACCAGGAGATCTTACCTGACGAAGACTTCCGGACATGGTGTGTCGACGTCGCCGACCACGAAGACCCTGCAAAGATATTCGATCTTCTACACACACAAAAGCAATCCATCGTGGCTGCGTTGGAGCGGAGCAGCAAGCAGTTGGACATGGAGGAGAGCGTGTGTGAGAAAATGAGATCCAAGTATGAGTCGGAATGGATCCAACAGCCCAGCTCGCGCCTTACCAACACACTGAGGAGCGATATCCGGAATTATCGCGAAGCGCTGGAAGAAGCTGGGAGAAGTGATGGCCAGCTTGCGACCAAATTGCGGCAGAATGAGGCCGAATTTGAGGAGATGCGCTCCGCCGTTGAGAGCGGCGAGATCGATGCTCTGTTTCAACGGGCCGTGAAAAGAGTGCGGAAGTCGGGTAGTGCCAGTCCCTCCTCGGAGCCAAACTTGTTGGATGCCGACTTCGACGACGGTGGACCCAGCGTCGTTGAGCAGATTGCAAAGGTCGAGGATATATTGAAGAGGTTGAATCTCATCAAGAGGGAAAGAATTCAGGTACTCAAAGACTTGAAGGAGAAGGTATGTTGGATGTGCCGAGTACTGTGGGAACCAGGCTGACACGAGCCAGGCACACAACGACGATATCTCACAGATCTTGATTTTAAACAAGAAGTCGATTGCCAACTACGAGCAGCAGCTATTCCAACAAGAGCTCGAGAAATACCGGCCGTATCAGAACCGTCTTGTCCAGGCGACCCACAAGCAGGCAGCCTTAATGCGGGAGCTGACCGTGGCGTTCAACGGCCTTCTGCAGGACAAGAGAGTTCGGGCAGAGCAGAGCACATACGAGTCCTTTCAGAGACAGAGAGGCGCAGTTATTAGCAAGTACAAGCGGGCGTACCAGGAATTCTTGGATCTGGAAGCTGGCCTGCAGAGTGCAAAGACATGGTACAACGAGATGAGGGAGACGGTGGAGAGCCTCGAGAAGAACGTCGAGACCTTTGTCAACAACCGGCGAGCCGAGGGCGCCCAACTTCTGAACCAGATCGAGCAGGATCGGGCCGCGAGCAAGAGCGCACAAGCTGCGCTGGAGCAGGAGCGGTTAAGGGGGTTGATGGAGCGTATGTCCGTGGAGCCGCTGCCAACCTCTCCGCATGTCGCCTCGTCCCGGCCAATACCCGCTCCCCTAACATTCAACTCGGCGCCGATGTATGCAAAGACCAACTTCGCTGGGCAGTACCAGCTCCCAAGCTCACCACCGCCAACACAAACAACCGCCCCGCAAATGTTCACGTACAACCCCAGCTCGCACGGCCGCATCCCTGGCCCGGCCTCGCCTCCACCCACACAGTCAACCTTCAACCTTGGTTCCATGCGCCCAGGCCCCGCCTCGCCGCCACCAACGCAGACCTCATTCTCCCAGCAGGGACGATACAGCACTTACGGCAACCCAGCTGCCGTCCCTCTTCCTCCTCACCAGCAGCAGCATCAGCAGCCACCGCCGCCGCAACAACAGGGTTATATCCCGCCCAACTTTGTCCCGCCTCCCCCTCCACCCGGACCGCCGCCCCTCGGTCCCCAGCAAACGATTCATTATGGGTCCGACTACTACCCGGGCGATCCTCATGCCGGCAGACCCGGGCCGGCGCAGCAGCATCATCAGGGCCAGGGGCAGGGGCAGGTGGGGCAGGATCCGTGGGCGGGGTTGAGTGCGTGGAAGTGAGCGCCGGGGTGGTGGTGTCTTGACTTTTTGATACGTGATGGTGCTCGAAGGAAAGGTTGGGAAAGAGATGGACTTCTGGGCATGGAATGGGACATGAATAATGGGCTATGGTGCGTTTGGATTGCCGGGTAACTCGGATTGATGAGAAGGGGGCCGTAACCGAAGGAATCAGCATCGAAACGAGTTGTGTATATCAGATGCTGTAAGACCATTCACATCAAATGTTGAGAGGCGGAGGTTAGGCATGAATCCAGCTGAGGAGGGTATTGGAATGGGGTTTTACATGGTATGGCAGCATCAGCGCAGGGACAGAGGGTGGAGGGGAAAGAGATGTGATCAGAGTGAGTCGTGTTGCATTAAACTCATCTAATGGAACGACGTAGAATGGAATACCCAGCTGCTGAGCGACTGAAACGGGTCTTAGCTGTAACCAACGGCTTGGATATCCTACCTTTATATGCCGAGACTGATGAGGATCTGAGATGTTGCGTTTGACGGCGAGGCACCATGTCTTTTCGAAGCAAACACCTTTTCGTGATCGCTCGGTCTCTTTGAGACTTTTTTTTCGGAAGTCCAATTGGTCACTTATATTTGGTAGATGAGATGTTGGATGTCGAGCATGGCGACCCCTCCTCATGTTAGTTGTCTTCCCGAAAGGGTCTGTCACCAAAGCCCGTACTATGAAAGTGCGGAATGGCTTGTTTTCGCGATGATGATGATAATGATGATGATGATGCCGCAGACGTAACGTCCCAGCGTTCTTCCGTTCACTCTAACCAACCACAGGGGCAAACCGACACGCCACTGGCTTCCCACCCTTTGGCGAGGTAACTTGATGCACACCTTGTTTGCATGTTTAGTGACTGGCTTCCTACCCGGCAAGTAAGGCCCGGTTGCTGCCCTGAAAAACATTGAGGGAAATAGTACGCCTGAAGCAGTGGCAGCTTGTATACCAGCGCCCAGCTCGTGCTGATTCACCACCAGCGAGAAGCAGAACTCCGCATCCGGAGTTTCGAGCAGGCTCGGCTGCCCATGAAGGCCAAGTCGCCGGGATCATTCTATTTCCCTCGCGCAATCTGCCGGCTTCCGCCCCCATCTCCGTTGTCAATCTCTGCAGCGACGTCACGTCGACGGACAGCAAGACGATATGCGGCAAACCAACCCAAATCTTGTCGGCTCATCTCCATTCCAACCAGAGAAGAATGGTGGAAAAAGGAGGCTTGTAGCAGAACACAGACGTCCTAACCGCCTCGTATTCAAAGTCCATCAACAAGCCACATCGCAGCCCGACGAAAGTGGTTGTCAACAACACCTGTCAAATGGATGGACTCATCTGCATCCATGAGAAGATCCTACCGCAGGAGCTCAACGAGCCCAGGGCTGGTGTCCATCGAACAGCAGACCCGATGGGTAAACGAACTTCCGCGGCGCCGAAGCAACCCGTGAACAAGAGAGGCCATCAAGAGGCAAGCGTGGTGACACAACCAAGTTGGAGTCTGCGCAAAAGGGAAGCAATAGCCCGGAGGTGCAAGGTGAGTAAGCAAATGAGACTTGCATAAGCACGTATTGCATGATGCATGAACCGGCCCTTCTGGGGGAGTTCGTCTTTCGCCTGCGGTGCTAGGTTGGGACGCTTGGGCTTGGAAAGTTTGCGCGTCGAAAGGGCGTAGACTGGATGCTCCGCCGCAAAACTCAACTTCGGTTCATGCTCGACTTGCCTCCTTCTTGACCACTCGAAAGTAAAGCACAGCACAAGCCCACTAACGTCCTCAGATGCAAACCAGCAATGCAGCCCTTCAGGGCCGTGTGGGCATTCCCCAAGCCGTTTCGGTAAGTTGATTGGTTACCAAATTGCTGGGAAGGCGGGCAAACAAACTTGGCCTCTCGACTGTGCGCCATTCGAAGACGCGGTCCGGGACGCTGTCTGTTGCGGCAGGGAGTGTCAGCCATGCCCCGGCGTCCCGAGATGTTCGCGCTTGCTGTTCCGATTCTGGGTCTTCCTTGAAACACTGTTTCTTGGCACGATCCGGTATGATCAAGGCTTGCAGTTGGATATCCCTGCATCTTGTGCTCTGGCCAAGGTGTGACAAAAGTGTCGAAGCCGACCCCTGTGTCGGATGCGCATGTCCCCCGTGTACCTGCTGGTACACCCGTTTGATGGTAGGCCCTCCACGTGAACACGTGGTTGGAGAAAGGAAGGACGCAGGTTTGAGGTCCGGAGAAGCAGTTCATCGGTCCCTCGAGAATGAGAAGGGGGGCAGTCTGATGCCTGGGCCCGCTCCCACCCGAGTAACACCCGCTTTGGGCTATCGGAAAAAGCAGACCGATGATGCCAACTGCGGAAGAGGCCTGCAGAACCGTGGCCTGAGGAGCTGCAGGTTCACCTTGTACTTATAGGGAGACTGAAATCGCACCCATTAGCGGCCAATGAAAATGCTCCGACGCAAAAGAGACCGTTGACACAGGACGCCACGATCAGGCACTCCTCGAACGGTGGAATGATAACACGAGCCGAGCTCGATGCTGAGAACGTGACCGAGCGGCATCCGAGGAGGAGCGCTGGTTCGTTGAGAAGAGCTATCAGCACTGCGCTTCGTCCGACGACAGAAGAAAGGGGGGAAGATGATGCGCATGACGCTATTGACAGCAGATGCTCGGCGACCGTGGAGAGAGTGGGTATGGGCAATGACCTATGATTCCAGCAGATAAGACTGACAAGCTGTCACCTTACCGCCGGTCCCGAGACTGGAAAGAGGCTGCCAGTCCGACGGCTTTCCCTCCCCAACAACCCGAGCTGCGTTGGCGTCTCTCGTTCTCGGCGGGCTCCGTAGATCCTCGAGGCGGGCACGGCGGGCCTGCCTGGCCAGGGTGCAGGGTAGCTACAGTTGATTGATGTGCGTTGTTTGGATGAGATACCGGACTCCTGCTTGGTTCGGGCAGAGGGCCGGCGTTCTGCTCGGCGTACTGTGTACTCAGCCATGTTTCATCGGGAAGAGTGGTCCGGCTCAATATGTGCCGGGCCGAGAGAAGCCGTGGAGTCCGGTCCGACCGAGCCACAGCTGGGCAGGCGGCACAGCAACCGTTTATTTGCGGGCACTTCTGGACCATCAGTGGTGAGCTGGTTCGACTCGCTTGAGGAACTATCCTTGACCGTCAGAGCAGGTTTCTTCGTTACGTAATCTGTAGTGAGTAGGGTAGCAACCAGAGTTCTTCGGAGCTGACGGAGAGATACCGAAATCGGGATGCCGATGTTCGTGCTTGGCTCTTGAGCTAACCCCTCAAGCGACCCGGTACCGAACGAGGGTTTCGGCAAAGGGTGGTTGTACAGCAGCAGTGACAATCCGGGATGTTTGAAAGCGGGTGACCGCAGGCGGTTTGTTGCACGTGGTGCAAACGTCCCTTCCATCCCATGGTGTTCCAGCGACGCGATTCAGAAAGAAACCGTCTGTTTGACTTATGACGCCGATGTTGTTGCCAAAGAGGCAGTGAAAGAAACTTCGGGATCTCGACTGCCACATCCATCCCCGAACCTTGCCCAGCCACCGATTCCTTGTCACGAGGAGCCGGTAAGCTAGGGGGAAATGTAGCGCTGGATTCCGAACCGACGAATCATGCCAGCAACCGAAGGTCCACACCTGCTGGACGCAAACGGGCTCTCCGGATCAGAGCCTGGTATGGTGAGGCTACACGGGGTACGGAATGGCGGGCAGAGCGGAGGCGAAGAGATTAGCCTTCCTCTCGGCATTGGTTGTCTACTCCGGTGACAGGGGTCCGACCGGATGGGGAACTGGGCGATCCATGGTTCTGTATAAATTGAGGAGGAACTCGGAATGTCCATGCGGCATTGGTAATGGCATTGGCCCCTCCATCCCTGCGTCTCTTTCCAAACTGCTCGTTCCTGCGCCCCTTATTCGATGCAACATGGTCCTCAGGCAACTTGAACCCACACAGGCTGGCAACGGTGTTGGCAACAAGACGACCACGGAGAAGTCGGCAGTTCTACACCGAGACCTTGGCTATGACTTCCTTCCATTGACGGGAGGAAGCGGCAGCCACCTTGTACTCGGAAATGGACGTAAAGTCTTCGACGCCTCGGGGGGTGCTGCAGTTGGCTGTATCGGCTGGGGTAACGAGCGAGTTGCCCGGGCTGTCACGAGGCAGATTCTGGCGATCCCCTACTGCTCGACCATATTCTACACGACAAAGGTGCAGGAGGACCTTTGCCGCTATCTGGTTGACTCGACCAGCGGTAACATGAGCCGTGCCTATATCGTCAATTCGGGTCTGTGTCCCATCAAGCGTGGCCATCATGCTCAGAGCTGACTCGCACAAGGTTCCGAGGCGATGGAGGCAGCAGTCAAACTCGCACGGCAGTATTTCCTTGAGCTTAGCCCAGCCGAAGACAAGAGGACCCGCTTCATCTCCAGAAGGCAGTCATACCACGGCATAACCCTTGGCGCATTGGCGGTTGGGGGCCACGATTACCGACGGGCCAAGTTTGAGCCGCTCCTGATGAAGAACGTCTCCAGAGTGTCTCCATGCAACAGCTTCCGTGGTAAAAGGGCTGGCGAGATTGATGAGGACTATGTTGCCCGACTAGCCAAGGAGCTAGACGATGAGTTTCAGGCTGTCGGTCCGGACACAGTCTGTGCTTTCATCGCCGAGCCCATTGTAGGCGCGGTGGGTGGCTCCTAAGCCTTCCGTCTCACATGGCGCTGACCGGCGACGCAGGCGCTTGGATGTGTGCCTTCGGTCCCCGGGTATTTCAAAGCAGTGCAAGCTGTCTGCCGAAAATATGGCGCTCTGCTGATTTTCGACGAGGTCATGTGCGGCATGGGACGGACGGGCACGCTGCATGCGTGGGAGCAAGAAGGGGTCGTCCCAGATATCCAGACCATCGGCAAGGGCCTCGGTGGTGGTTATCAACCGGTCGCGGGAGTTTTGGCCAGTCGACGCGTGGTGGACGTGCTAGAGAGGGGCAGCTCGTAAGTTCCGCCGGGCTCAACCATGTTTCCAGCTTTGCCATTAACGTCCGATGCGCCTAGCGTTTTCGTTCACGGTCACACGTATCAAGGACATCCCGCTGGCTGCGCTGCAGCGCTCGAAGTCCAGAAGATCATCCGGGAGCAGAATCTCTTAGCCAACGTCCAGGCCATGGGCGCGCTGCTCTCCCGGCGGTTGCAAGAAAGACTTGGAGACCATCCAAATGTTGGCAACATTCGGGGACGAGGACTTTTCTGGGGTATTGAATTCGTTGCCGACAAGCAAACGATGGATCCCTTTCCTGTTGATGACCACGTCGCGCTGGCCGTCTGCGAGCTCGGCTTAAGCGTTGAGTACGGCATTAGCGTGTATCCGGGAACTGGGTCGGCTGACGGCATCCGGGGCGACCATATAATCATCTCGCCCGCGTTCAACGTGCGCAAGGACGAGATTGAGTGGATTGTCGAGACGGTTGGGCGCCTTGTTAATGATTTCTTTCAAGCTACATGAATCGGATGATGATGCTCACGATGCTGATGCTCACTGTGGTTTGTGGCATCCAATGTCGTGTTGCGGTCGGTGTTGGTTCTGGTCTCGGGAGACAGAAAGCAACAGTGCAATGATGCGGAAAGATGGGAACTCTGGCTGTTTGAGGGCCCCTAAAAAAGGTTCTCTACGCTGTCCATTGCTACCTGGCGTAAGCAAGCTCGACGCTGAGTCGTTGAGTACAGTGGTGCCGATTACAACTGTACTTGTACCGCAACTCCAGAATAAGGTACAGTACCTTCGGTTATCATCTGTACAGATAAGTTCTGCTACCATATCTTCTCGCCGTATCGTTAGCTTCTTCGTACATCACTGCACGTATCAAGAGGGCGACCAAAAGGGGCACTGTCGCTGCCGCTGCTCCCACTACCCAGCGACATATCCTGTGATCTGTATGTACAATTTGAATTCGACCATATTATTCGGGCTTCACTTCATGCCGAGTCCATCGTTTCTGACGAACCTGTAACCTGACGGTTAGGCCAGCGAAATGCCGTACCATTACTGTTAAATACGGAGTACCATGTTCGTATCTGTCGAAGTGGGGCTCAATTGACTCAACCTGCTGCATAAATTTTCGAACAGCAAAACCTTCTTCCTCTCATTGATGCTGCTCACAGAGCAGCCTCCGCAAGCAAGGTGAGTCCCATTTTCACTTCCTCAATCTCGAGCACTGGGGAACGACATGATTATATCTATCGTATTCCAATCTGTCAATCCACTGAATTTTCTGTGATGACTATATACGTGTCCAAGGCTTATGACTCCTGTTCTTATCTTCTCTCTGAAGCACAAACAAGCCGCCTTTACGGATCTTTTCTAATTAGGAACAGGATCGTCTCCGGAGACATTCCCGGGAATGGCTACCGCAGTTGAAAGACGGGTCCGGATCTCGCGCGTCGCAGGCCGCTACCTCGTCTTTGACATCGACGATGTCCTCTACATTCGCCGACATCACTGCATCTGCGCAGTCCTGACGGGCACCATGCCCCAGAACCCGACGCAGAACCTTTTCCTCAGCCTGCCTGTCGAGCTGCAGGCTGAGGAGGCCCAGCTGCTGGTGGATACGGGCGCTGGGTATATTGCTGACGAGCTCACCGACCACATGTCACGGCTGTCCACCACCATGGACGAATGCACCCGCAAGGCCTACTTGCAGCACATCAAGCAGCAGCGTAGAAACGCACAGCGGGTGTTTGAAGAGGAAAAGGCAAAGGTGCAGGCAATGCATCAAAACAAGCGCAAGGCAAACAAACCCTCCTCCTCCACTCCCTCCACTGAACCCGCACCGGCCGCCGTAACAGAAGAAGACAACCTGCTCTTTGACAACCCCAAGCCAACACTCCCTCCTTCCACTACCATCCCCAAAGAAAAAGAATTCTCCCTCCCCGGCGTAACCCCAACAACTAGCTACCCACTTCTCCCCATTTCCACCACCCCTCCCGCAGCTCCAGCCAGCAGCGCCTCAACAGACGCCGCCACGCTGTCCTCTTACCCGTTGTACAAATACCTCAATTCACGTGGGTACTACACGACCCCCGGGCTGCGCTTCGGCGGCGACTACAGCGTGTACCCGGGCGATCCCTTCCGGTACCATGCGCACTACCTGGCCAACAGCTACAGGTGGGACGAGGAGGTGGCGATGCTGGACCTGGTGACGAGCGGGCGGCTGGGCACGGCGGTCAAAAAGAGTTTCTTGTTTGGGGCGGAGAAGCCTGGTGGACAACAAAGTGGTGTGGATGGGGCAGGGGAAGTGCGGGTTTTCTGTATCGAGTGGGCTGGCATGTGATGGTGAGTGGTACTTAGATAAGAGTTGATCTGTGAAATACCCTTTCTTTGGTTCTGAAGATGTAGAAAGAAATACTCTCAACAAGTATTCGATGCTCAAGTCCCAAGTGCACTCAAAATGGAGGAATCTGACTGCTAGAATACACCGTATTGCTTCGATCGCTCGTCCACAAGCCGAAAGGCCTGGAAACCAGACCATCACCGCCAAATCTCTCTCTCGAATATGCCGCCATGCCAACGCCATTACAATGGACTAAAACACAACCAAGAACGAGAGAAAAGGGCTACGAATTCCATGCCCCGCTATGACAACAACAGCAACTATCGCCAGACACACAGAACCGTCTCCGGCCCACGATAATACATTCAAGGAACAAAGATCCGGCTAAAGCTAATCACCTCGCGCCGACAACAGACACACTTGTCGAAGTTGTTCATGGCCAGCGACACGCGGCAGTCGTCGCACAGGCTCAGGCAGCGGCACGGCCACACAATGATCGTCCGCGGCGCGCTCTGGCACACGACACACTGCGGCCCCTCAGGCCCAAGCCCCGCCGCGCCTGTTGCCCATGACGAGTTCGCTGCTGCTGCTGCTGCTGCTGCTGCTGCTGCCTGCGCTTCGCCTGCTCCTTCTCCTCCTATTGATGATGATGATGAAGATAGTGGTGGCTTCCCTCCGGCGGCGGCGGCGCGGCGAGAGAGGAGGAGCTGCTCAAGCATGCGGGCTTCTTCGTCCGGCGTCATCTTCTCGTGGGGCCCCGCGGCGGCGGCGGTGGCGCTGCGGCGGGAGGCGAGGGCTTGCTTGTTAGTGAGCAGTACCTGGGCGCGCTGGCGCTGCTGCTGCTGCCTGAAGCGGGAGCGGGTCATGATGGCGTCGCTGGAAAGATGTGCGGCGAGAGAGAGGGCTTCGTCCCGGTCCTCCGGGCTCTGCGGGTGGAGGAGCCGGGCCAGGTCGCTGGCCGCTATGGGAGTGTCAAGGAAAGGGGTCGATTCGCGGGAGGCGCGCGCTGAGGCTGCGGCTGAGGCAAAGGAGACGGGGCCGGGGTTGCGCTGGGTGGGCGTGCGCTGGCCGTTACCAAGGTGGTCGGCGTGGTGGTCAGATTCCCAGTCGAGTTCGCTGGCGGTCTCGGTTGTGGATATGACGCTGGTAGTGTCATCAAAATCTGTTTCATCAACGCCAGTGCTGAGGGCCTGAGGGGTGGGCGGGGCATAGTCGCCGCTGGAGTCTCGATCTCCCCACCAGCCGCCCCTGAGAAAGTAGCTGTAGAGTTTCGAATCCACTTCTGCTTCATCAACCGGATGGTTCGGTCGGTCTGGTTCGCCTTCGGCGCTGTCTTCGTTGATACGACGGCGTAGTTCAGCTTCCACATCCACTTGATCCGTCCGAGGGATGGCGAAAAACACCTTGCCTTCGCCAGGAGAGAGAACATCAACGTTCAGCCCGCGGCCCTTGCGTCCGGATTTCTTCGAGGACGGTTCGGATTTGGGTCTCTGCGACAGGCCCCGGAGCCACCTTGGCGGCGTGCGCATGCCGAAAGCCGCCATCGTCTTGATCGTTACTAATGCCCACACGGTGAGCACAAGCTTGAAAATGTACAACACATACTCCAACGCTATGAGCCACCTTGAGCTCCGCTCTGCAGCGCCCACACCGTCCCGAATTCGCCTGGTGGACGTGGTGCTCTTTGGAATTTGCTGAGCTGCTTTCTCCCTCGCATAGCCGCTCATGGCACTGCTTTGCCCATCCTTGACCGGAACAAGGCCGATGGTGCCGATAGAGTCAAACCGAGATCCGGGAATTCCGCCACCGATCCACTGCATCCTCAACTCCTCCATTTCGCGGAGCCGTTCATCCTCCAGCCATGTGTACCTTTTCAGATTCACTTGGTGGTCCTCGTTAAGGTAGACGGCCTCGCTGGCCATCGTGATGGCGCCAAAGCCGGCACGTAAAAGGGCCGTATAGAAGTCCATGTCCATCCGGATACGTATATCCGAAAGCGAAACGTTCGCTTGCATGTTGCCATGGGCACGCACAAGGCGTTGTCGGAGGGAGAGCCGTTCGCCAGTAACTTCTCCTTCCGGTGTAGCCAGGGCTGACAACGAGAGGGCTGCGGCGTAGACGACTCCGCAGGCATAAATCCCACACAGGATGAGGATGTGAGGAATGAAGCCAATGATGCAAACTGTCGGAAACCTCAGCAAGCCTTGAGCCGAAGGGTCGTCGGCCGAGAAATGGAGGGCACTCCACAGGAGACTAGCCATGAAGCAAAGTCCCCAGAACCCCGTGCTGATGAGGCGAAACTTGGACTGCAAGCCAAACACGCCGAGGATGTGGCTCGTGACATGGCTCATGGCGGAAAAGAAAGCAACCAAAAGTACCTCGGGAGGAGTGTTGACTCGCCTCAGAATCATGGACCTAGTGAGCGCGATTTTGGATCCAAGTGCTGGTTGCGACGCTGCGGTACCATTGGTGAAGAGACCCCATCCTAGCTGATTGCTTATGGCAGCATCCGCTTCAGCAAAGGCAAGCGAGTGCTCAAAAAGCGTCATTCCCGTCTCGGCAGCCACTGGGCGGCCCTGTACTGCGCAGGAGAGCACCTCGACGAACTGACTCAAGCAGAGCGTCCCGAAGAGTGGCCATAGACGAGACAGAGATCCAACCAGCTCGGGCTGCTCCCGGTCATCCCACGCGACCATTTTTACGGAGCGGCATGACTGCTCATCCGTCGCGCCAAGGAGGAGAGCCGAGCTCAAGCGGTTGAGCATGGGGTTCGGATATGCGAACATCAAGTCGGAGCTCTTGCTCGCGTTCCCCCACCGCAGCTCGCTGAAGTCGGATGAGGTCTGGCACTGCATCGACTGCAGGATCCATCGGGCTTGAACTAAAAGTAGTAGGATGGGCGCGGCTCGCAAGAGCAGCCGAACGGGCCATCGAAGGCGGAGCCGCCGACGGGTAGCAGCGAAGATGTGCGTGCGGTTGAAGATGATGGCCATGGCGATGCAGCACAGTGCCCACTTGCTCGTAGCGTAGCTGAAGACACCCCCTATCCCCTTTGCGCCTTCCATCGAGAACCGCGAGACGAAAGTGTTCGGATTCTGGGAGACAGAGTCGACAGCGGCGGAGGCAGCGGCGGCGGTCATGGATGTGGAATCCGTTGCTGTAGTAGCCTCGATGAGGGTTCCTGCCAGGCTTTCTGCGGCGACGCCCGAGGTAGGGAAGAAGTCCATGTCGGTGGCATCGGGCACGACCCGCTGGCCGAAGGCATCAATGGCGTCTGGGACTGGAATAAAAGAGCCTAGCCTACCCAGCTTCATAACCATGCGAGGCCCTGCCCAGACGAGATCCTCCAGCGACGGCGCGAGCCTTGATATATTCACAGCGAGTCCGAAGTGCTGGGCGGTCCATGTTGTAAAGTTATGCCAGACGCTTGCGTTGTCGAGTGCTCGAGGGATTGCTGCAGCGACAGCTTCGGGTAGAGAGGTGTCGTCCATGGTCTAAATCCTAAAATGCAAGTTGAAATAGGATAGATGGGACACCTCGGAAGGAGGACGACGATGGGAAGAGGTGGAAGCCGAGACAACGAAGTCCAACTGCCGGCTGAGCCCGCAAGAAAAACAACGCGTTTTGCGGCAATCAGGCAGACGGCGCGCCTTTCATATGCGTGTCTCCGCTTCAATCGTACATTGCTAAAGGAAAAAGGGTGACTCCAAATTTTGTTGAAGTTGGGGAGCAGGTCGAGATTCGCACAACTTGAACCTTGCTGCCTGACCTGACGTCTTGTCTTGGCTCGCTTGGGCAATCATTTCCCATGGGGTTCAAGAATGTGGGCTCTGTTGACTTGCAGGGGCACCAAGCAAACGATCCCGCTGCACGCTCGGGCCGACGGCAGGCTTGGCGCGCCAGGCTTCATCAACCCCAAACCTTCCATCTTCTGGCCATCTGCCACAAAACCGAAAACAACCTTGAAAGACTCACGAGGTCGACGCAACACAGCAGATATTGCCACACGGCCGTTGCGAGAGACAAAGAAAAATGGCTTCGGGACAACAACCAATTGCTACGTATGTGTCATTGCACTCCGACACATACAAGGCATCCCTCTCCTGAAGTCGTCGTTCCAACTGACCGCCGACCGCAGGGTTTACGTCCGTAATCTGGAGGAGCGCGTCAAGCCAGAACCGCTCAAGCTAGCGCTGCATACCATCTTCTCCGAATATGGCAACGTGATTGACATTGTGGCCAAGACGAACCTCAAGGCCAAGGGCCAGGCCTTTGTTGTTTTCGACAAGCCAGAGTCGGCACAAGCCGCCGTCGAGGAGCTCCAGGGTTTCGAGCTCTTCGACAAGCCAATGCATGTTGCCCTGGCACGCACCCGGAGCGATGCTACGGTTGCGCAGACGGGCAACGAGGAGGAGTTTGATGCACACAAGCGCCGGCGCATGGCGGAGCGAGGTATGCCCTTGCCGTGTCTTCCACTCTCCAAACGCCTATTCTTGCTAACAGTCAGCTCCAGACAAAAAGAAGGCCCTCGAGGCCGCCGAAGAACAAAAGCGCCTCAAGCGTCCCCTGCCAGGCGCTGCCGCCGAAGGGGGCGCCCGACCAGTCAAGGCGGCCCGCGGCGCAGGCCTCAAGCCCACCGGAGCTGGACCCGCGGCTGTGGTGCCCGACGAGTACCTGCCTCCCAACCGGATTCTGTTCGTCCAGAACCTTCCGGACGACTTCGACAAGGACACGCTTACTGCAATATTTGGCCGCTTCGACGGGTTTCGCGAGGTGCGTATGGTGCCTGGTCGCAGCGGCATCGCCTTCGTCGAGTACGAGGCCGAAGCCGGCGCCATTACCGCCAAGGAGAACACGGCTGGCATGCCACTAAAGAATGGCGAGAAGATAATGAAGGTGACATACCAGCGACAGTAGCCTTGGTGGCATTAGGACCAAGTGTCTCTGGACGGCTGTACTTCCTAGGTAAGGCGTTGATTGACGCGTGATCGAGGTACATCAAAATCAAAAATTCACGGAAGAATATGATACCCAAATTCAGTCAAGCACCCAAGCAACTCCGAATTGCGCCTATACCTGGCAAATGGACGATATCCACAAACGATTCCTCCCATGACCACGGGACACACCTACCGCTTGCTTCCTGAAACCCTCAGAAAATCACGTCCTCGTCCTCCTCAGCAGCTAGAAGATCAGCTGGCCCAGCGGCTTGTTCTTGCGCTGGCGCTTCGTTCTCTTCCCCCATTGCTGCGTTTTCCTCAGTCCTATGCTCCCGGTCGGCCTCTGCTGTGGCGTTGTCTAATTTCTTCTTGTTCGCAACCTGCACGGAATCAGAAACATCGCCTAATGAGAACACCCAAAGAGCGGCATACCTTCTTGAGCCTGTAGAATTCTTCTCTGTCAATCTCGTCCAATTCTGAGTTGATATCTGCTTGGAGTCAGTGGTCCAGTCAAGTAAAAGGGCTGTTGTTCTTCCTTACACTTTATGGTGTTCTCCGTCCTCGGAATAATGACATGCTCGCTGCCTGCTGTTAGGGAGACGCAACACCGTAGTTCAAACTTTCTCACTCACATGGCATTAACTAACCCCACGTTAGCATCCACACTTACCCCTATTTCCCTGAGTATTAGGCGAGCAAGAGACAAGGGGACTCACCTCTCCGATTGACAACCTTGATGACCTCGTCGAGAATGACAAATGCCGTCTGCAGACTCGCCAGCTCAACCAGCGCCTCGACCGCGCGGGCGTACGTCTCGCGGCACCGCTGCACCTGCTGGCCGCCCTTGCCCAGCCCCGTCATGGCGAAGTCGTTGTTGCCCTCGGTCAGGTAGCTCTCGAAAGCCGGCAGCAGCACGCCCGACACGTTCTCCTGCTTGGCACGGATGCGGAAGCGCGCCGACTTGGCCGACTCCTGGATCTGGTACCCAATGTTGCCGCCCACCGCGTATGTCACCTCAGCCAGGGATAGGGACGCGATCTGCATCACGCGGCCCATCTTGCGCTTCGCTTCGTCGATGCGGCGGGTTATTTCTGGGGGGGGAGAGGATATTGTTAGCGAAGGAGGCAAGGGGGGTTGTGAGGTGGGTTTCTGGCTCGCCGTACCTCGGAAACGCCTGGCAGGTTCATGGTGTCAGTTGGTCCCAGGGGTGTTGGAGGTTTGGGTGTGGAGGAGGCATACTTGGTTAGTGCCTCGCTCTTTCTCTTGAGCAAGCTGTGTCCTGTCTCGGCACCCTTGAGCTTGGCCTTCATTATGCCCAAGGACTGCCGCGTAGGGAAGACGGCTTCCCGATCCTGATAGCGTGTTGGAGGGTCAGCATTGCGTGGTGGGCGGTTGAGCTCGTGCAACGTACTGCTGCGCCGGACATTGTTGCAAGTGGTCGAAGGAAAGAAGGGAGAGATGGCTTGGAAGTGTGTAGGTAAGTAGAGTTATTTGCGACTGAGGAACTGTGATCCTGCCCTCGAAGAATGGAACAGATGCGCGGTTGTGGTCGTTGGCAACACAGCTGCTGTGGAGCTTGGAGCTTCAAGGTTCCAATGCGACAGTGACCTCAGCCAACTGACACCCGACATTGCACATGACGGCAGAACCACTGTATGGTCGGCGTGTTTCAGCGATCCGACCCACCAGATTTCAACCGGGAACCTAACTTGAATCCGCACCTAGCCGGGGGCTGGATGGCCCGAGCGTCTTACGTTGCATTGCATCTCGAAGCGTGCCCAATTGCAAATCATCCTACCTTGAAAAACGCAGCATAGAACTCGACCAACCTCGCCGTGGTTGTCCCGCTGTCCCGTGTGCAACCATCCTGACGGTCTGCCAGTGATGTCACGACAACGCGCCATTTAGCTCTTCCTTCCTCCTCCGATCCTCCTGCGCGGGAGCGCCATCGGTTTCGCGCTGCCCGGCACAAAACACGCCAGCAACAATGGCTTCCGTCCTGCCGTCTGGTCGCCAGCCGGATCTGGTCCTCGTTGTACGTTCGGGGTCTCCCCTATTGCCCGGATCTTGAGCCCTCTAACCCTGTGTCCCAGTCCGAGGACGATTTCCCCTACGAGCAGGACATCCTACGCAACCCGGGAAGCACTAAGCCGTGGCTGGCCTACATCGAGTACAAGCTTCAGCATGGGACGATACGCGAGCAGGCGTTTGTCATGGAGCGGGCATGCATCCAGCTACCGCGCTCGTACAAGCTGTGGAAGATGGTAAGCTCCCTTCCCGGCAACCACGCGTCATCAACTCCTGACCCTCGGTAGTATCTCCGGTTCAGGATGAATCACATCGTAAAGCTCAACGCCGCCATTTTTGCAGCCGAGTTCCAAAAGGTCAACGCGCTCTTTGAGCGTGCGCTGATCCTCCTCAACAAGATGCCCAAGATATGGGAGATGTACCTCAAGTTCCTGATGCAGCAGCCTCTGGTGACCCTCACCCGACACACCTTCGACCGCGCGCTCCGGGCGCTCCCAATCACCCAGCACAACAGGATATGGGCCCTCTACCGGCCATTTGCGAACTCTGCCGAGGGCATGACGGCGGTCAAGATCTGGCGGCGGTACATGCAGGTTCATCCCGAGGACGCCGAGGACTTCATCGAACTGCTGGTACAAACAGGCCTGTATACCGAGGCCGTGAAGAAGTACATCGACATCCTTGACAACCCCCGCTTCCAGAGCAAGAACGCCAAGGGGCACTACGAGCTGTGGAGCGAGATGGTCGATTTATTGGTCGAACATGCGGCCGATATCGAGACGGGGCATGAGACGGGTATTGACGTCGAACGGATCATCCGGAGCGGCATTGAACGATTCAGCGATCAAAGAGGGAAGCTATGGTCCGGCTTGGCAACATACTGGATCCGGCGAGGCAACTTTGAAAAGGCGAGGGATGTGTTTGAGGAAGGCATTACGACGGTCATGACGGTTCGAGACTTTACTCTCGTGTTCGACTCGTACACCGAGTTTGAAGAGTCCATCATTGGCGCGTTGATGGAGGTCGCCTCGGCACGAGCTGAGAAGGGCGTGGTAAACGAGGCTGCTGACTTCGAGCTCGACATCCGCATGATGCGCTTCGAGCATCTCATGGACCGCCGGCCGTTCCTCCTGAACGACGTCCTCCTCCGGCAGAATCCGAACAACGTCACGGAGTGGGAGAAGAGGGTTGCACTGTGGGGGGACAACAAACAAGAAGTGGTACAGACGTACACGGATGCCATTGCCGCCATCCAGCCCAAGAAGGCGGTCGGCCCGTTCCACCAACTATGGGCGAATTACGCCAAGTTCTACGAGAAAGGGGGAGACCTGCGGAACGCCCGGATCATCATGGAAAAAGCTGTCAAGGTTCCATTCAAGTCGGTGGCGGAACTGGCCGACATGTGGATTGAATGGGCTGAGATGGAGTTGCGGAATGAGAACTTTGACGAGGCCGTCCGGATCATGGCCAAGGCAGTGCAGGCACCCAAGAGGTCGACCGTAGACTATTTCGACGAGACGCTATCACCGCAACAACGGGTACACAAGAGCTGGAAGCTTTGGAGTTTCTATGTCGACCTCGTGGAAAGCGTCAGTTCCCTGGAAGAGACCAAGAAGGTCTATGAGAGGATATTCGAACTGCGCATCGCGACGCCCCAAACCGTGGTCAATTACGCTAACCTGCTCGAAGAGCACAAATACTTTGAGGAGTCGTTCAAAATTTACGAGCGCGGTCTCGACCTCTTCAGCTACCCAGTTGCTTTTGAGCTATGGAATCTCTACCTCACCAAGGCCGTCGATCGCAAGATCAGCATTGAGCGGCTAAGAGACCTGTTTGAGCAAGCGGTTTTGGACTGCCCGCCAAAGTTTGCCAAGGTCATATACCTCATGTACGGCAACCTGGAAGAGGAGCGTGGGCTGGCGCGGCACGCCATGCGCATCTACGAGCGGGCCACGCGCGCCGTGTCGGACGAAGACCGTGCCGACATGTTCAATTTTTACATCACCAAATCCGCCTCCAACTTTGGCCTGCCCTCGACACGCCCCATATACGAGCGAGCCATTGCGACGCTCCCCGACAACGAGGCCCGTGACATGTGCCTCAAATTTGCCGATATGGAGAAGCGGCTGGGCGAGATTGACCGCGCCAGGGCCATCTACGGACACGCCTCGCAGTTCTGCGACCCGCGGACGAACCCCGATTTTTGGACCAAATGGGAGCAGTTCGAGGTGCAGCACGGCAATGAGGACACGTTCAAGGAGATGCTGCGCATTAAGCGCAGCGTCCAGGCGCAGTACAATACCGACGTCAACTTCATTGCCTCTCAGGCGCTGGCAAGGAGCCAGGCGCAGAGACAACAGAATGGCGGCGAGGAGGTCGACCAAGAAGTCGCCGACGCCATGGAGCAGCTGGAGAGGCAGGCTCGCGCGCCGGCCGGGTTTGTGGCCGCCTCGGAAGGCCTCAAGGGGAATGTACCCAGTCGGCCGGTTGAGGTGGCCAACCCCGACGCCATCGACCTTGACGATATGGATGAATGACACGATTTTCCGTAGGTAGAGAGTGGGCGTTACCTCGCGTCTTTTTTTTGCAGTGGGGTTCAAGGACAGGACAACCTTGAAGTATTTTCAACTCGGTCGGATTGGCGCGGCAGGATTGGTAGACGGACAGAGGAGTAAATAGAATCTCGTTATTTCATGTTCTCGCTTTACTCAGGTACGAGCCAGTCTCTCGGTCCGGACCACTGCACTTTCTTGGATGAACTTTTGCTATAACAGCCCTCTCCTTGTATGTAATTTGTACAGCAGACAAGCACGAGAGACAACATTACCCGCGAACCAACAAGACAACCCCATTCCAGATATACAAACAAAACAGTAGAAATTTGCTGTTACCACAGCGTCAGCCATAAGTCACCAAATCACATCCTCCTCCGCTTTTTCTATTGTTGCCAGAGACCAGAAAACACGCCAGGCCTCGCCCAAGACACTATACATACAGATAAACACCCCACACACTCGCAGCTATTGCAAACACTGGGGATATCACTTTTTGACGATCCCCATCTTGACCAGCTTCTCGTGGAATTTGAGCGAGGTGTCGTGGTCGACACGGCCGTCGCGCGAGCCGGGCACGGCGTAGATGGAGCCTTTGCGCTTCTGGAAGCGTGAGGGGGGCACTTTGGAGGCATCTGCGTCATTGTGTTTGGGTCAGCGGCTGGCTTGGGCACAGAAGGTCGGTTTACTTGGTCAAGTCTAGGATTGGGTGAGGGTTTAGGGGTAGGGAGGATATAGGGGAGGCGATGATAGGGGAGACGGCGATGGGGGAGGCCATGCTGGGGAGGGAAGGTTGTAAGGGTCAGATAGAAGGGGGGTGAAGTGTTGTTGATAGGGGGAGACATGGCGTGGTGGGATTAAGCTGTGGTAGGTTGGTTGGGTAGTCCAGAGAACAGTGATGCAACTCGAAGGGAACGGATGCTGTGGATTTTGGGGAGAGGTGGAAGATTGGAATCAGAGGCAAAGACACTTGGGGAGAGAGAGGGTATACAGAAGTAGGGGGAACGTACCCCACTCGTCGCTGGCACGCCTCTCATCGCGTATTGTTGGGGACGTGGGCCCGATTGGACTCTTGGGCGCAGTCGCTGTGTCGGCCCGGGGGTCGGCTACCCCCTGGCCTGGCGTAGGGAACTGCTGGGCTGTAGGGCTTGCGGCGGAGTCGGTACTCACGATGCTTTGTTTCCTGTTTTCTGGAACTTGTTAGCTTCGTGTGGGGAGGAAGTGCCGAGGAGAATTTCCAGGGGTTAAGATAGAAGAAGGGAAGAGGAAGACGCCACTCAGAAAGGAGAGGGACTGGACTGTCATACCAGCCATAATGAATATTAGAAAGACCGACAACCCTCACAGGTGTCGCTTGAAAAGAGGGTTATTGGATAGTTCGGCTCACGGGCGTTGGTTGTGTAGAAGAGTAGATGAAGAAGGGGTTCGAGTCTAGAAGACGTCAGGGGAAAGTCTCCAAGCGCACTCTGGGCAGATCTCATTTATGGACTCAGCTGTGAGAGAACTGGCGGGGTATTTATATCTCTGCGTATGCTACAAAGTCGCTGTGTATGTTTCCGAATTGAGGCAGTCAGGGAGCATGACCAGAGGTCTAGGCGTGTTGCTTTTTGCCTTTTGCCCCCTCCCTCTCCCGCTATTGTTGTTGTCGCTGTCATGGTGTTGCCTCTCTTGGACAAGGCACAGTGCTTTGTCTGCTTTAATCAAAGTCATGGGTTATGTGAGATACGACGGCATTGCTTAAGCCATAATCTTCCTTTTCCTTCCCAATCATATGAAAGAGCTTCAACATCGTCGCATCACGCGACAGTTAAACCAGTGTCGAGCAATGCGGAAGCTCCCGAGTTCCATTGGGAGTGGCAGTGCAACATATCCAATCCCGAGAAATGCGGCACTCAAATACAGCTGAACGGGGGCACCTGACGTCATGCTGGACAGTTAAAGCTGGAGGCTTTCTGGGCAACGACACAGATCGGTGAGATTGGAGAATGCCAGGTGGCGCTCGCTGAGCTCGAGATAGCGCTCACTGCGTATAGCATTGGCTGACTTACGCACGTGAGTCATGTCTTGTGCTGAGTTACCATTATCTAATGGCAGAATAGTTGGAAGTCTCAACCGATGCTCCTTCACAAAGAAATCGGTTGATAGCGAAGTCCATAGAACAACTGAAGCCGACATCATGGGCCAAACTTCTCGTGTTGGATATGGCATAAAAGCAACTCATACCATTCCGGAAAGTCAACAATCTGTGTTACCGACATGGATCCATCGATTTGCAACCAAAACACTTCCATCTCACTAATCATGACAACTACTTGGGGATGTATCTGCAAAGGGGACCATGAGCCACCCAGTTCTTCTGGGTAAAGCTGGCACATGACATTTCCACAAAATATGGGGTAATCTTGCGACCCGTGACAGCGGAGACAAGCGGCACCGGCCGGAGAACTCAACAGCATTTCGACCGGGCAGACATCACGATCTGTAGGAGTCCCAGAGCAAAAATGGGGAACAACAGCAAGCGCATCATAGGTTGAAAAATGATTCATGTTGAGTATTAAAATGAGGTCGTGCCCGGGTTCGAACCGGGGTTATTGGAAGGCTTGAAGGCAATCAAAATCCAAAGTGATAACCACTACACTACACAACCTTCGGGAATTTACGACATGTATTTTTAGCTTATCAGCATTTTTTTGTTTTTGTCAGGGTTAGGGTTTAAGGCAATACGCCTGTCCACCCCGGAGTTCATCGAGGCACCCAACACCAGAAATGGGCAGTTACCGAAGTGTATCGTACATGGAGAGACGATTGAAGTGTTTTATCTAAGTCTATATCCACTAATAGCTTGTTCGAGTCACAGATCCCCATTGGTCTCCCGTCCCCTATCACGTCTGCTTGCGGTGCATCACCCCTGCGGCAGCCTGCAGAATTGTCAGTCAACTTGAGAAGGAGGTCGCAATGATAGCTGGGGGATGGGTTACCTGATGGCTTGGGAAGATCAGTGTGTCTGCAACAACCACGTTCTGCCGCCTTCCGGCCACAAACACCACCACCTCGGCAATGTCATCGGGTGTCAGGGGGTCACAGCCACTACATTGTTCAGCGTCAGTCACCGGCTCACCCAGCGTATTCCGAAGCAATCACTTACGCATAGACGGCATCTGCCTTGGACTTGTCTCCGTAGAACCGGACGACCGAGAACTCCTGCCACAGAGCATCAGCATCAGCACCAGCGCCATCCATCATTGACCCCCCCCCCCCCCCCAACGGTTAGACTCACCGTCTCGACCTGCCCCGGATCGATCTCCATGACCCTGATGCGCGTGTCAATCAGTTCCTTGCGAAGCGCGTCGGTAAAGGCGCGCACAGCAGCCTTGGTGGCACAGTAGATGCTGCCGCCCGCATAGGGGTCCCGGCCGGCGATGCTGCCAATGTTGATGATGTCTCCTGCTCCGCCACCCGGGCGAGCCTTGAATATGGGCAGGACGGCCTGCGTCATGTTGATCAGGCCGGTGACGTTGGTCTGGAACATGATGTTGATGTCCTCCTCGGCAATCTCAGGAGCACGAGCGACTGGGCAATCATCGTTAGCACCGCTCACTTGTCGCTGGTAGACTCTTCTGCAACGACGCAGGACCGCATACCTCCTTTTACCAACCCCCTGTTTGACAGTCAGCACGCGCCCATCTCGTCTCTAGACGAAGAGTCCAAAGTAGCACAAACTCACGCGTTATTGACTAGCACATCAATGCCCCTGAACTCCTCAGGCAACCGCGCCACGAATCCCCGCACCTGCTCCGGATTCGCCACGTCGAGCTCGACAGGCAGCACTTTGACGCCGTCGCCCACCTCGGCTTGAATCTCGGCCGCGATCTCCCGCAGACGGTCCATGCGCCGCGCCGTCAGCACCAGCTTCAGGTCCTTGGGCGACGTGCGCGCAAACTCGAACGCGCAACTCCGGCCGATGCCTGACGACGCGCCCGTGATCAGGACCGTCTTGCCTTCGAGGCGCTTGGCCATGGCGGACGTGGACATAGTTCTGGCGCTTGAGGGGGTGAGGAGCGTTGGGATGTAAGGGAAGTGTAGCAGGGGGGTTGTTTGTCGGGATCCGGACGAGAGGATGCGGGTGACGGTCGAGATTCTTTTTAAGGTTGCTGTTGTTGTTCGGAAAAACATGACAGGAAAAACCAAGACAAGGTCCGGGAGCGGAGCGGAGGAGTAGTGCCTTTATTTAAAGTGTCAGATGGTGGGCAGAGTAACCCCCCCCCGGGATCGGTGTCAGCACCATCTCATCTGCCCGATTTAATGCCGTTGCCGGGCCGGCCCCCGGGCAAAACACCCCGCATCGAGCTCCATCGCGCCGGCGATAAGCTGGTACCCCGCACTATCAACTCCGTTCTCAGATTCCTCCTACAAACGAACAAGGCATGGAGCCTGTGTGGAAGGAAGACAGGGTGAAGACAGTTAGGTGTTAGGTCGTTAGGGGATCCATGCTGTGGGTTGCCCTCGACATCGTGGAGAGGAGATTTGCCATATTGATGAGCCTGTACCACAGTACAAGTACAAACGGACAAACGGTGATCGAGATATCGTCATCTCATCTCCATGTGGCCCTGCCCCTGAACCGGCTTCTCCGGGCTAGCCCCGGCTTGTTCGCTCACGAAGAGGAAAGAAAGAACATGGCCAAAGCAAAGTTGTCTCTATCCAAACGCCGTCGCGTCTATCCAATCAGCATGCAGTCGTGTTCTATCCAAAGTTTATATCCCGGTATGAGCCTTCAAACGCTGTCCGATGGTGCCTTTGCCATCGGATTCTGAGGAGCCTCCACGTCGACAGCTGCTCGTCTCCTCTCAGCCTCTTCGCGATACCGCTGCTGGTACATCTCCTCCATCGAGACCCTGTTCCGTCTGTACACGCCAAGCGTGCACACCATGGCGAGCGCGAGAATCGCGCAGCACACAATCATCATCTCCCTCAGCGCCTCCGTGTACGTCATCCGAATGGCCGCCCACTGCTCCGGTGCCAGAGCCGAGGGGTCAGACGCCAGATGAGCCAGCGCCTCCGGGGGCATGTCCGACTGCGTCTTAGCACCGAGGATGGCCGACGACGCCGCGATGCCAATGCTCCCGCCCAGGACGCGGACCTGTGCCACGATTCCTTGCGCGGACGCTGTATCACCCGTCAGCTTCCATGCCGAGTACCTTTCTCAAGAGACGAAACGGAAGAACCAGTGTAACAAGCTGAATAAGAACCCACCATGCTCCCAAACCGGCGCCTCAGCACCAGCAGACATCGTCCCGGCCGCCGCCGCCATGCCGAACCCCAGCCCAACAAACACCAGAAACCCCAACACTTTCGCCTCTATCACCGCCTCGTTCCCCGCCGTGATCTCCAGCCCGCACCCAAGCATCATCAACGCGCACGACGCCATCAAAGTCTCAAAGAACCTCTGCTTCCGCCTGGGTTTCCCAGTATTCACGGCACCCGCCAGGACCGTCCCGACTGCGGCCGCCGCCAGCATCGGCAACAGCATCAGCCCGGCCTGCAGCGCCGACTTGCCGTAGACGACCTGGAAGCGTACGGGGAAGGCATAGACGCACAGCAGGTACGGAAACCCGGTGAGCATGGTCTGCAGGGCGGTCCCGACAAAGACGCGGTTGCGGAGGAGGACGGGAGGCAGGGCGAAGCCGACCTTGCGCTCGCCGCGCTGGGCGGCCAGGAAAGGTTGCCAAGCGAAGAGCACGGCGAGAGATAGGAGGCCGGCGAGGAGGGGCGCGAGGAAGGTGGCCGAAGACCAGCTGGTGGCTTGCGAGGCGTTCTGGAAGGGGAAAACTATCAAGACGGCTGAGGCGATTCTGAAGGAGGTGAGTGAGTGGGTTGGGGCGAAAGGAGAACAGAGGGGGGAGCTTACAGGAGGAAGGCGCCGACAAAGTCGACGTCTTTCCACGCGCGACGCTCCAACGAGGGGAGGTATTTCTTGTTCGGCCACGCGAGGAGGAAGACGAGAAGGGAGACGCCGCCGATGGGGCCACTGAGACACGGTCAGCCACAACTAGAATTCCTGAAGACCGCGTAGGCTGGTTGAACAGACTTGATCCAAAACACCCATCTCCAGCTCGTGTATTGGGTCAACACACCCCCGAGCACCGGACCCCCCACCCCGGCGACAACCATCACCAACCCCACCGCTGCCGCAATATGTCTCTTTGCCCGATCCGGCGTCACCTCTGGCATAATGATCATCGATAGACTGTACAGCCCTGTCACCACCCGTCAGCCCCCTGAGCCTAGCCTCTCCCATTCAATTTTCTCAGGAAAGCAAAGGAAAAAAAATACTCACCACTCCCGCCCAGCCCCTGAACCGCCCGAAAAGCAATCAACTGCCCCATATTCCTCGCAAACCCACACGCCAGCGAGAAGGCAATAAACACGACATAGGCAGCTACGAACGCCGCGCGCCGGCCGACGACGTCCGAGACGCGGGCGCAGAGCACCGCGCAGCTGAGGTAGGTCAGCGTGTAGGCGAGCGCCACCCAGTTGATGGCGGCGACGTCGCCGAAGTCGAGGGCGATGGTGAAGAGCGCGGTGGCGACGATAGAGGCGTCGAGCATCGAGAGGAAGAGGCCCAGGGAGACCCTAGAGCTCCGGGGCCCGGCGGTGTTAGTACTCAGATAATGGGCTGGTAGTCGGGGAGGGAGGGGACTGGAAGGAAAAGGGGAAGAGGGTGGAAAGGGGTTACGGACCCTAGTACTATTGCGACTAGGCGAAGCTTGGGAAGGGGTTGAGGGCCGACGTGCTTCTCGTCGGTGCTGCTGTCTGTCACGGGGTCGTCCGAAGGACGGGTGGGTGTGCTTGGCCCCTCTTGGGACTGATGATTGTGGAGGAGGTCGTCTATCTGTTTCAGCTTAGAGTGCGGGTTGGTTTCTGAGGACAACCCGTCCGCCATCTTATTTGATGCCTTAGTAGTTGATGCCATGGCTGGTATTCTGTTAAGATTGCTCGTGTTGAGCAATGTCTGCGGTAGGCAATATCAGGTTGTCACTTCAACCGCGGTTGTCAGTTACTATGCGTTCATCATAGGGGCTTGAGGCTTACAGAATCCAAGGGGATATAAGACGTCCCTGGGACGCTCGTACTGAAAACTTAAATCCCTCAAGCACTGAGAAGCTGAACGACCAGCACCGTCGCGAAGATGCTGATGTCCTTGACAAAGGACCCGACGATGTCGTAAGAGCTGAACTGGCCGCACTAGCAGCTTCAACCGGGCGAACCAAATAAAGTTTCTGAAGTCCGTCCCAAACTCAGCTTGGGCGAATATCGAGTGTGTTGTGTCCGTTATTCACTCTGAACCGCGAACTCTCAAGGGGCGCAAACTGGCGAGTCTTGACAGCCAGGTTCTCCCTTCTTGAATGCGCCCCGGCAGTAGATATGGAACCTAGCTCAATGAGCTCAGTGCCGTACAGCCTCGCATATCGGGGCAACACTTGGGCCGTCATGGTGGTTAAGTCAGGCGCGCGTTTGTCGATGGCATCCGCGCTCGCACTCGCACTCGCTCGCTAAGCATCGTGTGCGGAATTAAGGTACCGTATCCACCCAGCCGGTTGGGATGGAAGGCCTTTGAGATCAGTCCAATGAAAGGAGAAGGACTTCTGAAACTTTCAACTCTGATTGGCTGACGTGAGCAAGGCGGTACCCCAATCGCCTGAATGGTAGTGGTACAGTCACTAGGGTCGGCCTTTGGCGGATCCTGTGGTTCGGCTGTAGAGAGGCAGTGATTGGTCGGGCAAGTAAGGTAGTCGGTCTTGATGAATTCTTCTCCCCCGCTTAGATCACTCATCATCTCCAGTTGTAGGCACTGCAGCCGAGGTTCGATGTCTTTGTCATGAATCTTTCCTAAGGTGTTCGGCCACTTTGGCTCAATGTGAACCGACAGGACTGAATGATGTGTTACGCAACGGAATCCGAATGCGATTCATGCCAGTAAACCAGACCACGCACATTCCATGTAAAAGAAGGCAGTCCAGGCAGACAATGATGGCGATTCTGGTTATTGCCGAAGAGACCTGTGGATTAAGCCAGTTCATGGGTTACAGGAACCCCATCAAAGCATTGTCTCGTTCCAGCGCAGTGCACGCCCAACGCTTATCGTCCAGACACCCCGAGTCAAGCAATGAACCTCCAGAGGGTCGAGCGCCAGCATGCTACTTCTTTTTCCGGAATCGCCATTAAAAAGCTAAGGTTTCTTCCGTACAGGCAGACAGTACAAATGACAGAAATGAGTTGACGACAATCCATTGTTGTTGAGGCAACCCATTTGGCGAATCGGGTGAGATATCGCTTCTGTGTAGCAGAGGTAGATCAATGCAAACCAAGACTCACACCATCAAGCTCTGTTGCTTGTGGTGATGATGTGGCTTTCACGGTCGTGGAATTACACACAGAGTTGAGATCGACGGGGTCTGGAATGTAAGGTACTGGGTGCTGCAGTTGATGTACATAGATTGATCAATCTGTTAATAGGGGCAAGGTAGTCGAGAGGGTGGTTTTTACATAGTTTTTTTGGGCTGAATTAACAGCCTGAATGGAGCGGTACTTGTGAGCATACCGCGTTGTTCTTGCCCCTGCCCTTGAATTGCTCGTGGTGGCGCTGCTACTTCCTAGGCTCGGGCCTCAGAAACTTTATATCCCGTCTGATTATCACTGACTTCACGCCTGTTCTATCCACTGCGTGACTAACGTACCGCCATCGATACAGAGTGTAAATCACGACGGGAGAAGCTGTTGGGAATCAGACGTTGCCGGAGCTACCAGGCAGTTCTCGATTCAGACTTTAACCTGTCTGAATGCGACTAAGCCACCATTCTAACAGTTATTCACTTGTCATGCGAATTTCAAACATGTTCAGTCTAGCCGTTAAATTTACTTGCCTCAAGAAGTGTCAATTACCTGTCCTGGGCGATGTGTGTCCCAGAACTCCAGTCGGCTCCTGGCACTTTGACAATCACTGGCTTATCAGCACTCAACCCGACTTCACCGTCAAGGGTGACAATCTCGCAAATCGTCTCTCAAAAATGAGGTGCGGCAGGTGACTTCCATTTGGGTGGAATGGCGGAGCCCTTCAAGTGTTTATTCAGAATCAACCGTGATCATCCAGCCAGGACCGGCCTCCCCCAATTTGACTCGGAGCTCTTGGGCGTTGACGGATACGGGCTGGCAAACAGAACACTTTTCAGCACCTCCAAACCTCCGAGGAGAGCAGACAACGGCAAACTGTTTCAGTGTGCGTCTTTCGCCGAAAGTTGTATTCGACATTTGTGAGCTCATCTGGATCATCGGATGTTCATGCCAAGTCGAAGGGATGGATGGATTTGGCAGTCGAGCATTCGAAACATGAGTGGTTTGACGACTTGGAAGCCACTTGAAAAGGAGGTCGATTGTCTCGGTCAGGCGGATTGTTGAATCCGACCATTTGCGTCTCAAGCATGACACGCTCTCCAGCAACCAGTGCTCTGTGCATTCCACGCTGCACACCACCTCCCCTCAATGGGGTCAACACCAAGTTGGCTCAGCGGCATCGGGAAAAGCTCTGCTTGGAATTACAACAATTTAAATGATACGGGCCCAACTCCCTAACCATCAGAGACGTGAAAATCGTGTAAGGCTTTTCGTAGCGACCACCTCTACTCGACCTTGGGGGGGGGGGGCCGCGCCGGAATTGGGCAGGTTGGTGAACTTTCTTTGCAGTGTTCTTCAGACTCCCTTCGCTATGCTGTCTTTGTTTTGATTTTTCTTTTGCGTTCTTTTTCCTCGTTCCCCCATACCCAATCCCGCGACTCACTCAACGAAGTGCAGTTACTCTCTGTTTACCATCAGAACCACCCCGGTATCCATTCCCCCTTCTCATTAGGAGCTTTATAATATTCCGTTCAAAGAAATTGAGCGTAGTCCGCGTGTTGATGTCATGCCTTCCAGGGACACCGGAAGTTTGCGTCGCTCACAGCTCCAACCTCCGAGAAAGATCAGGAAAAGCAGACATGAGCCAGGACGTTGGGTTGCGCCTGCCCGGCGTAGTTGAGAAATGGCCACTGCGCCACTCTCAGCTAATCCAACATGCAGTCGCTGAAGAGTTATCACTTCTGAACCATAAATTGCAGCCAACCTCAACCCTCACTGCATTGCTGTCGTTCTTTTTGCGGCTGCTCAGATCTTCCCGTCGGGTGTCCTGGTGCATGCAGTACCACCTGCGGTTGGTTGTCGTCTACTTCTGGATTGCAACCCTTGCCTTCCACAATCGGTCAAGAAGACTTGACCACCTCGAACCAATCTCGACAGAAAAGTAGTAAGTGAAACCTCGGGATACCAAAATAGAGCGTGCTTGCTACCTCTGTAACCGCCAGGAACACCCGTAACCGCAGCGCAGTACTTGTTCGAGCCTCGAGATACAGATCGTTACATCGCCACGAAAAGATGTCTGCGCGTCGAATGCCATCGATATCGGTTCATTGACGCGGGTGCGCCGGGACACGATCAACTGCGGAAGGATCCCTCAGGACCAAACTTTCTGGCCCTTGTCACAGTCACCATCTTCCAGACCTGTACGGAAATTGAGCCAGCAGATCTGGCTCGTCCTTCCCACGGACTCCGGGCCCAGATTTGTAGCACGGATGCTACAGTCTGGGACTGCCGAGATGGCGTCCCGGATCCCGTCAACCCAGGCCCCGAAGGCGGCACCCGGAGCCCCCGCTCTCGACATGCCGCCCCGCAAAAGGAGGACTTGCCCGGCCGCTCCGATGGCCGGCCGCTGATGTGAAAGAGCGTCCGGGCTTGCAGAATGCGAGACCGAGCTAGCATTCCTTCGTCCGGCACATCAGGTCGCCTGCGAATCCCACAATCCGCCGGCACTACTCGACAAGATGCCGAATATGGAGCCGAGGTGGAGCACTCTCGCGGCATCGAGTGCCATCAGACGACCAAGTTCTCCACTGTCGACGGCTGATGGGGCCGAAAGGGGCAAGCAAGAAAGACAGATGTTCTGTTTGTTGGAGCGGTGCCGTTACCTCGAATCCTTTTTACCCCGCATTCTCGCTACAATTACCGACCAAGAATGAGCAAACCGAGGAACGCTTTGGACTGGATGCTGTCGGGAGTCTCTCTGCTGGCAACGAGGCACCATTAGGACGAAGACATATACTCCATCCCATCTGCTGTTCCCTCATTGCGTCGACCTGAAAGGGGCAGGTCGCTGTCTGCACTTTACGTGATCAGTGGTTGGGATGGATCTGTTTCCCCGCATCTCAATCTTCTTTCCCCAGGTCTCAAAGCCGGGGTGCATCTTGTCGGTTCCCCGCACACCGAACAATCAATTACCTGCAGGCCTCCACCTGCGGATACAGGTACTCAGTACCTGTGTCCACGCTGGTGCAACGCTGCCATTTCCCTGGTAGTACTTGTACCTGACACGAGTCGCGCGACGGGCCGCAAATCCAGATTGCCAGGCGGCTCCGATGCGAAGTCCGAGACAAATTCATCCAGCCAATCGTATCTCCCCGTTTTGGGCCCCGCTTCTGCTTCGGGAAACCGTTTTTTCTTTGTTCCCGCAGCCACGCCGGCCCCTCCACCTTCAACGCCTTTGCAGCACCAGAGGACACAACGGCCCAGGGCGGGTTCCTCGCGCAGTGTGGCCATCAAGATGCAGGAGCAAGGTACGAGCGCTTCGTCCGCCTCTATCTGGCGTTTCTCTCCCCGAGCATCACATGGCGGCAACCACTTGGATATTCGAGCAGTTTTGGAAGATACTAAGGGTGTCCCTCCTGTCCAGTAGCGGGCGCTCTTCTTGCAGAGAGACAGATGATGAGATCTTGAACAGATGCGAGCAGAGTCCTCTCCGCCACTTCTTCAGAGAGAAAAGAAACGAACGTAAGGTAACCCAGGACGCGATCACGGGGCACATCACAGCCTCGACGAGTATAGGCCAAATCCCACTTCCACCGCTTGGCGTTCTGGCGTGTCGGCCCTGATATCCTTGAGCCCGGAGTGATGGGGGCCCCACCTAGATTGATCGTCAAGTGACGGGTCGCATTTCTCCATCGCCCAGCGCAGGCGGTCTCTCCCGTCTTTCCACGAGCTAGCGCACTCGAGGGGACCCTACGCCGGTTGATCTCAGGAGGACATGGCACTGCTTCCCAGCTGCAAAGAGTCGGGCAATGTGGGTGTGTGCCATCAAAACGACCTACCGTAGGGAGCCATGACGGGGCAGATCTCGAGTGGAAAGCCGGCCCCAGACTGCCATCGCCGGCAGATCTTATTGGGTGTCGTCATCACCTACATAGAACCCTTCGCGAAGCCTTCCATCAATATCCGGAGTCGCACAAGCAAACAAACGAGTCAGCGGCAGGGCAGCAAACTGCACGTAACAATGCGGGGAGATTGGGTACATCGCCAGGTACCGAGCAGGTAGACAGGTCAGATACAAACACTCGCAGCCATTGAACAGGAATGTGCTACAAACCATTGCTATACTGCTCACAACCCTCTCATTCCGGGTATTCAACCAAGGACCGCGCGCTATTTTGCCTGGCCCAATCTGAGCTCGCCTGTTACGCCGAGTTGCACAATGCACACTAACAACAGAGGAGCGAAGCAAGTGTAAGACGAGGAATTGAAAGTAGTTAAGCAACTAAGTATAGACAGGAGAAGTGAAGACTGAGCCGACTCTTTTTTTCCTTGTCCCCCGTTCATGCCTTTCCGTCCCCTCCTGAGAGTTTGTCCAGTTTCCCAATCCGGGCCACCCCTCCCCGTCCAATGCGAGTAACGACCGCATGTACATACATGATTCATGATCCACAACGTTCCTTGGTATATCCGTCATTCATCTGCTGAAATACATTTCCCGTCATCATCAGTCGAGAAAAGGGAAAAATATCAAACTCCTCCTGCCCCGCCCCACCCTCCGTACCACCCTCCCGTTTCCACGCTCCCTCCAAGCCAAAAGAAAGGGACTGCCACCCTCCATGTACCCCACACTTTCCTGGGGAAATCAAACCACTCATCCCGTCCCGGGCCGAAAAACCCCCCACCAAGACTAGCTAGGTAGGCAGGATAGACAACGTAGGTTGCATCGAGTAAAGAAAACCATGGAGGCTCGGGGGAGTGCGCGGAAAACACAACCCCCAACGAGCGGAACCTGAAGAGTGAAGAGTGCGAAAACTCGACCAGTGCCAGCCCCAGCGTAACGTAGAACGTATCAGACTGGATAGGGACCAAGAAACTCCTCCTCCTCCCCCTTCCTTTCCCCAACCCTCACCCAAAAAAAATTCACTCTCTTACTGGACGTAGCCAAACCCGTCAATGCTCTGCTGCTGCTGCTGATGATGATGTTGAGCGTGACCGTGATGATGACCATGGTGGTGAGCATGATGGCCCATGAGGCCGCCGTAGTCGACCGCATGAACCATGGCCTCGTGCGGACCCGTGGTAGTAGCAGCGCCCGCCGCCGCGCCGTTGTGGTACGCCGCAAACTCGGCCGCCGCGGCCATGGCCGACTCGTCCACGGGGCTCCCCAGGCTCACGTGCGGCGGCGGGCTCCAATACATGCCGTCCAGATCGCCCCACAGGCCGCCCTGGTCGAGCAGGCCCATGATGCCCAGGCCGTCGACCGGCTCCAGGCCGATGGGGGACATGTGCAAGCCCGCGGCGTCGGCGGCGCCGGGGCTCATGGCGAGCATGCCGTCGGCGCCCGTGAGCACCTGGATAGTAGGGCTGGCGCTGGCGCGCTGCTGGGCGACGAGCTGGCGGGCGGCCTCGTACATGCGCCAGACGACCTCACGCGACCGGCGGGCGGCGAGCGACCACTCCTCCATGACCTCGAGCAGGTCCAGCACGGCCTCGATTTGCTTGAGCCACTCAGGCACGCGCGGGGACCCCCACTGCCAAAAGACGGAGACGAGCGGCACCATGGCGGCTTGGTATAGGAACCAGACGGCGTTCCACCCGCTCATCTGGTTGCGCGCCCACTCGTGCGCAATGTCGTCGATGGTCTGGGCGGCGAGCTCGCGGCACGTCTCGATGGCGGCCAGGTCAGCGTCGCAGGCCTGTGTGTGCGGGTTGAGGCCCGACGAGGCGAGCGAGAGGAGGACGGGCCGGTGCAGGAGCATGCGCAGGTTCTGGTACCGCCACTTCATGATGCAGCGCGCCATGTACAGCGGCTCGGCGCACGGGTCCGTGGTGCGCAGCAGCCAGGGCAGCGAAGTGTACCAGGAGGCGAGCTGGCTGTCGAGGTTGTGGCGGTCCTCGGTGCGCAGGAGCGGCGTGATGGCGAGCATGTCCTGGATCTGCGTGGCGATCTTGCAGAACTTGATGTTTTCGATCAGGGGGAGGATGCCGGCGTGCTGGGATGAGTCGCGCGAGGCGTTGATGCCGAACTCTGGAGGCCGGATGTTGATGGCGGGACCCCAGCGGCCGAACGAGGGGCGGCCCATGGTGGTGGTGGCCCACGTGTCGAGGCAGAAGAGAGCCCACCAGGTGCGGCGGCGGGTCTCGGCGGCGACGACGTCGGTGTTGGACTGGGTGAGGGACTCGCGGTGTAGCCCCAGGGCCGAGGCCATGCGGATGGCGGCACCGAGCACGGCGTTGGCCATGTTGGGCCGGTTGATGTAGTGAAGATAGTAGCCGCCGATGAGGGCCAAGGCCTGGACCGTCTCGATATGGCTGCTGCCGAGGGCGTCCATGGGGAGGTACTCCATGGCGCGGTTATAGTAGTTGATGTGATTGTAGTCGTCAGATTTCATGGCTGCGATGCTGCCCATGGCAAACACCATGTTGAGCAGGGCGAGCCATGGAGCGTCGGTGCGCTGGCCCTCGAGGTAGTCGGCCCGGAAGGTGCTCTCGTCGAGCATGGGGACGAAGACGTGGATGCGCTTGAAGTAGGCGTCGATGAGGGTCTGTCCCTTCCATGACCATGGAATCCGTTGCGGGTCCTTTTGTGTCGACGATGCCTTTTGCCTCACGGCAGGGAAGTTGTTTGACATCTCGACGCCGCTCAGTGGCGCCGCCAGCGTGTGCCTCAGGCTCGGCTGCACCTTGAGCATGACCATCAGGGCGGCCTTGATGGAAGACGCACCCAGGTAGGAGGCCTGCCGGTCTACCGAGAGCGAGAGCGCGTTGATGTCGTCGGCCTCGGCCGGGATGGGATCTCTCCCCCTCCGTTCCTCGTCCCACTCGGTGTCTCTAGTGGGAAGCTGTTCCAGCAGGTTCTCCGATTTAGGCATCATTGGCGAGCCGAGGTCCGAGATGGGCGATGTGTTGATGGGTGGTGACGGCAGGCCGCCGACAGAGGTGTCTATTACCGGCCGGTCCAGGAGGTTGAGGAGCTCTTGCCGCGACAGGGGTAGGAGGGCCTGCACCTCCTGGTTGGGATATAACCGCTTCAGGATGGACCGGCATTCTTCGAGTGACTGCGAGAGGGCTTCGAGTGTCTTGCGCGAGGGGATGACCCGTTGCCGGTGCTTGTCATAGAAACACCGCTTGGGTGCTCTGCTCGAAAGACATTGGCCGCATGGTTGTTGACCGTCGCACCGGCTATAGGGACACCTCGTTAGACCTCTCGCCCCTGAGATCGATGGGGCGATTTTCTGCAACTTACATCTTGCGCCGCTTGCACTCGGCACAGGCATGTGGTGTTGTTATCCTTTTGGCAGTCCCTGGCCCATTTGCCTTGGAGCTATCTGGTGATTCTGTGGATGCCTTGCGTGGTGTGACCCCTTGGAATGTGTGGAACATTCCGCCCTGGGTGGGCACTGGGATTGATGGCGCCATTGTGAGAGAGGCTGAGGCTGAAGGGTATCAAGCGTATCTTGGAGAGTGCTGGAGACCGGCTCGCAACGTCACAACCGGGCCGCTGATGGCGACAGTGGTGATGAGGCCGAGGGATAGGGGCGAGGGTCTTTACACGAGGTTGATGTTGTACATGGAGGAGGACGGAGCCACAGAAGATGAACTCTGGTATTAGCCCTGTTGACGACAGTCACAGTGGTGAAGATGTACATGGGCAATTGCGGAGCGAAGTGAGAACGTGGGGAGCGGATAGCAGACTTATATATCTAGATGCGCTTGTGAAATTGCAGCTAGGAGATTGGAGATGGGACTCCCGAAAAAGTGTGGGGAAAGGCGAGATTTGGCGGCGATGGTCGGCTGCCCAGGCCGCCAGGGGAGGGGAGGGACTTGGTTGTTGCGGGTCCCTCCTCCTCAACCTCACGACCCCTACCCTACTACCACACCAATTGGCGGAGCATGCTCTCTATGCAAGACTGGCTCTAACTGGCAGTATACCCTCGCATCGCAATCGAGTTTTGTATGGGAGCCCGAGTATAGGTTGCCCGACTATGGCTGGGATAAAGTGCGCGACGCAATGCACCAGCATCCTGCCACGAGTAGGCTGTCGCCGCGGTCAATGCCGTCTTTCGTGAACTGGTAGGAACCGGCATCAGCCTTGACAAACCTGGAGATACAGGGCCCAACGCTGCTCGCTCAGGAACACTCTGGGGTGCAGCGCCAATCAGGCATGATCGAGCCGCAGGTACCTGAACCCGCATATTAAAATCAGGCTCAGTGCAGGTCACGCTCCCACCCGCGATTCCGAGGGGCAGCCTTTGACGCGGAGTCGGCGGTTCGTTTGGAGAAGCAAGCACCCCAGTCTGGGGAGCATGGAGCCGTGGATCATCAGCCAGCCATTGAGCGGCTCTCTGGGCGGTGGCGTTTCAGCGCCAGGGCCGGGGTGCATGACTGTGATGGAGGGCAGCTCAGGAAGCTACCGTGATACCCGTACTGCGTACCATAACGTACTGTACGTAAGGTATTCTCTCCACGCTGCACGTCAGCCAGGGGATGCCGCCATGCCGCATCGTGGGGCTGCGACATCCTGCTGTACTTCGTTGTACTGCGGAAAGCAATCGAAGTACTACCCAAATACCCTGATAATGTTGCAGTCGAGTGCAGTAACCCTCGGCTGCCGAGTTCGTTGAGAGCATTGTCCGCAAGATCCTGCATGGTCACTTGACACTGGCTCCAAGCTGACGTAGGCCACTCTCAGCATGAACAGTTCCGCGGCTTTGTCATATAACCCAAGCTGTTGAGAACAGAGCGAGATGAGAGGAACATCATTGCTGGTGTGTTGATGTTTGGCGCCAGGGGGCTCGCGGAACACAAGCGCTGCAAAAGAATTGGAGAACTGTGGAGAGCGAGCTGGTGACGGAGAAGCCTTGAAGGACCGTCGGCCCAAGAAACGTTTGTTCCAGGGACAGGCGCCGGTTTGTGGAGAAGCGACAGAAGGGCTTGTTATCTGATTGGTGTCCGGCTTCTTCAGAACGGCCACCTGCCCATGATCTGGCCGTTGATCTCTCCGATCAAGGCAGAGAAGGGTCACCGTTTGCTGGAGAGACTGGGGTGGTGTCAGGTGGTGCTCCACCATCGCAGGTCTGACGCCGGGCTGAGCGCTTCAACCTAGACTTCGGGCAAGCATGGGCGAACTTGTTGACATGGCGGCCGACGAATACGGATTCTGGCGCGCCTAAAATGGAGAGGGTGCGTGCGACCTGTGCATTGCTTCTCCGTTGCCGGCGCATAGGCGCAGTCTTTCTTGATAGTCTGTCTGCACAGCGAGGTGGTTCACCAGACGTCGTTTCGGACAAATCAACAACCACACTTGTTTGCCTCTCGATGTTCGCTGTGGCCAAGCTGAACAAAATAGCGGCAGAACAGATGAGGCGGTGGCGATTCCAGCTAGTGGTCGAGGCACATGACTTCGCTTTAATCTATCAGAATGGCATTGACTGTCCAAGTTGGGAAGCTGTGAGGTGGGCGTTTGTCCTTGTAGAAGCCAGCCCAGGCGCACTTTTTTGACTCGAGATTCCGCGCGGCAGGGCTCCGCAAGTCGCCGCTAACGGAGAGTTTCTTCATGCAACCCTCCGTTATCTGGGACTCTCTGGTGGAATATCCAGCAATTGAGGAGCTGCGCCGCGAAGTGATACGAAAGAGACGGGAAGGCGCTCGCTTTGAGCCATATTGGGTTCTGTCATTTCGCACAGCCGCTTTCTTTTCCGACGCAGTACGCCAGCCAGTTTACAATGCTAATCGTTCGTCGGCGCTGGGGAAGCTCGTCCTGGACGTCGCACAATCCGAGCCAGATCAAACAAAGAGATGATCGGCTGTGCCGTTGCCAAGCAGCCGGCGTCGACAGACTCGGCAATTCAAGCGAAGAGCCCCACGGGGCAGACCAGGGGGAAACGACGAATGCCTCGCACCCGAAGAAAGGCATCGCCGAGAAGACAGGGTCAGGGAGTTCTTCCCTGCCTTCTAGAAGAAATCGCAGATTGTCTTGTCCGTCTGTGCCTGCAAAGGTACGGCGGAATGGCGGCATGATTCAGCTTGACCAATGAAGATTCAAGTGTACACCGTATCCTTAACCTATTTCGAGTTGTTGTATAAGAGATCAGAAGCCTTTCCACATTGAGGTGCTTGCTCCAAACGTTCTTCAGGTCACGCCTGTCTGTCGTGGTCCCGGACAGCAGTATGTCGTGGCTTCGAGGGCTTCGGATCGACGGCTTGTAGCTCCATGAGATTGCAACGGTGTGGCGCTTGTGCACGGGAGATATCACGTGCTCTATTCCGTTCCTGTGCTGTAAGTTTTGTCGCAGCAGCGTCACATCCAACTCCGTCGAGATTTAAATAAATACCTCCGTTTTCACACTCTTACACACCGCCGTTTGGAAGCGGTCCATGGAGTGGATTTCCACCGTTCCCCTTGCTTGCAAGGCGCGATCCAGCTGCACCTGCCATCTCGGCTCTGGACATCTGCTCCCCACATCCCCATCGTCCAATCATGACAGCAGAAGCTCCTGGAATCACGGCAAGCGAGCCTAGCGTTGGTCGGCTGCCCTTCCCCTGCTCATCAATGTTGTCGATGCCGAACTCCACGGTTGCTTCTCAGCCGACCCTGGTCATCACTCGGCTGTACCGGTATTCCTAATATAGACAGATGGCGGTATTCTGAAGCGGCAGCCGATGGATCTTATGCCTTTCAAATTCTGGAGGAAAGCATCGATCAATTGCATCCAGCCGCTTTGAAGAACCTCCTACAAGGCCACTTGCTGCCAGAGCCAAACGCAGTCCGATGTGCAATCAGTTATGGGGGTTCTACAGCATCATGATAGCCCACACCACATTGCATCGGTGGCTTGCTCGGCCGGATACCCTGACCTGGGCAGGACATGGCTTCACTCTCAAACGTTAAGCTTGTGCGAAGCAGACGCGCTATCCCTAATAACGTTACGGCTTGTGAAAGCCTGTGAGCGTGGTTCGGCATTCGCAACTCCACACCTCAGCTTTTTCCCAGAGCCAAATTCTCAGCCAATTAGCATTTGACACCTCCATCCACTTCCACCTGCAAAGCCCCCTGATGTCTTTTTCCCTTTCGACCGGCGACAGCGAACGCACAAACATGGTTCTGGTGCGCGTGTCCACCCTTCACGCTTCTCGAAGCCTTCCATCCACGCTAACAAGCAGAACCAGAAACCTGCCACTGAAACCTCATCTCGACCTGTCGACGACACGAAGCAAGTGCACCGTCACCTAGATGAGCAGACCATTCAAACCAATGCTGCTATACACATTCGTCCCTGTCATCCCGACCTTAATTTAACGAGCCCACCCCCATACCATTCGCATCCAAGCCCAGTTCTAGCCGTCCGTGCCCGAGTCTGGGCTTCCTTTCTGGCAGTCCCTCAGTTATGCATTCGCTCCCATAATCATCCTTTTGCCTACCTCCCCACCCTCTTCCTACTTCATGGAGGGTGGGCCGGTACCTGAGAGGGGCCTGTGTGTCGGCGTGGTGCGTGAGACTCGCGCAACACCGCATTGATCGGCGTCGTCATGAGCTGGAGCAAGCAAATTAAGAGGCTCGCAAGGCTCGGCTGGGGTCGGCATCAAAGAAGGCTTGAAGCTACTCATGGCTTCAACATGCCACCTGATCACGGGAGGACGGGATGCCATCGCCGCATTGCCGACCTCGTGGCTAGACCGCCAAAGGCTTGAAACATAGTGATTGTACCCGAATCAAGGCAACCCACTAAGGTACCCAGTAGGCACGGTCGTCATTGGCAGAACACATACCTTACGTAGCCATGCTCCATTGCACTGGAGATTGGTATTGGAGCCGCGTCTAATGCCCGTTTCACGGCCCGGAATCATCATAGCTATCGGCTTCCAAGCGGGAGAAGGGCCGCCTGGGAGGTGTGCACAACCAGGCCGTACGGAGAGCGCTTCTAGAAACCACAAAACACACCTCGGGCTTCTTCCCCAAAACTGTAAAGGCGTCTTCTTCACAGTTCATTGAACGGTATGTCTAAACCCAGCACTGTGTCGCCGGCGGCACCGGCACATTTCTCCTGCCCTGGGGATCTCGCCTTGCCTTGCCCTGGTGTCGGTTGGCGATCCGAAACAGGGCCCGCAGGGAGCATTGGCATCAAAGTGGACTGCACAGAGCGGCATCAACTTTAATTCCTACAGTCTCCACCAGCCATCCTGCTCATTCTCCTGCCGTTTTATTTTTATTCCAGTCTATGCTTCTCTCACCAGCCGGTCACATCTCTTTGCAGGACACCGCATATTATTCCGCGTCCCACTAACACCGATCCTCCAGCAGGCTCCTAGCAACACGTGATCAGATCGTGGATGACGCTGCTTCCATTCTCTTCTCATTCATCTGGTCAGTTCCGGCTTTCGCCCCTGGCCCTGTTTCTCTTGGTCCTGGCTAGTACGTACATGTACCTGGCCAAGTCACCAGACGACCGCGGTACGGGATCGCCCAAGGTATCATTCGAAACCTTAGCTGCATATGCAAGGACGCCCAGTGTATTTGCCTATCGGCCAAATCACTCCAGCGTTCCGGGCGAGCCTTCGGAACAATCGCCACATTGATCCGCCAGGGCAAGCAGCGACCGTCACGCCAGCTTGTGGCTGGCTGGCCTCGAAGATGCGGAGCGTCCCCCCAATCCCACCTGCTTCCCCCACACCATCTTTCCCCCAAGTTTTCTTTCCAGACTGCCACAACATAAGTGGCTTGCATGGCTGATCAGAGCCAAGATCTAAACGTCGGGTGCTCTTACCGGGCCTTCTCACCTCGGGCGAGTACAATGCCAGGCTTCCAAGGACTCAGGTGGGACATGTGGGAAGACTCCCATTGACTCGAGAGAGACACCCACCTCCAACAACACTCAGTTTCAACCCATCCCATCAAAGGTGAACTGCCAAAAAGCAAAGGACACGATACCCTCACCATAATTCACCAGAACCCGGTTCTGTGTCTGGGGTCCTGCATTTCCCTCCTCTTCTGAACCGTTTCGTCCCTTCTTCTACCGCCCGTTGTGACTACAGTAGCAGCAAACCGTAGCCGCCGGTCGAGTGTAGCCTGGGTAAAAGAAAAAAAAACCGCACAAGCACGAGGGTTCCATCCAGGCCCTGCGGTCCGAAGCGTAAAAAATCTTCTTGCTTCGGGTTCCCCATTCCAGGTGGGGGGCCCATCAAAGAGGGCAAAACTGGCTTTGGAGGGTTCGAATGTCCGCATATCCCCATCTGCCATACCACGTTTACCCACTCTTCCGTCAGCCAGCCAGCCAGCCAGCCGTCATGAAGGGGCTAAGTGGGCTGGACGTCGGGAACCTCGCAAACGTGGCGGGAAGCGGTTCGCGATGGCACTACTGTACGTGGTCGAGTTGGTCAGGTATCGAAGTGGTAAATCTGCGGAAGTGTGACGGAGGCCTGCGAGGGCGGGTACATCGGATACAAAACAGAAATCGCACCTTCTGCTCACAAAACGTCACTCTAGTTGTGTTGTTGGGAGAAACGTCAGCTTCATTGCTGTCAATACGCATGTAGTTTGCCACGCAAAACAGCGTTGAAAAAGAGATCATGGTCGTGTAGCAAGCCCTCTGCCCATAAGAAGCAGCAGCATTCACTCCCTATCTAACGTTGACCTCAAGTCTGGCTTCTGCCAAGGGAAGCACTGAATTAAACCCGGATCTGCCAACCTCCAATGCCGAAAACCCCCCAGCCTCAAAGGAGATAAAGGGATAAAACCAGAAAGGCAACGAACACAAGCGACATCAGTGACCAAACCTTGGCCATGCAGCTTTGTCTATTCGCCATTCATTCTCGATCAGCGCCGGCGGTTGTAGCCGAACCCGGGCTTCGTGTCTCACTTTTCGTTGCCGTTGATCCTGTCTATGAAACCACCAAGGCACCCTCCTGTCTCCTCTCTGCTCCTGCTTCCCGGCTGGTTTCTCCCAGTTTTCCGAGTCATCTCGCAAGAATCTCAACCACTCCGATCCGGACAGTTAGTTCTGCCCTGCCTTCCGCGTGCTGACTGAAGCCAGCCAGCCGCCAGGCCAACTTCGCTTCAGCATGGAACCTTGCAGACACCAGTCGAGTCAGTCGACCCAGCCGCCGCCAGATGACGCAGGGTGATGGAACCAGAGTAAGGGAAGCGCTTGCAACTTCCCATTCCAAACATCGTTACTCCGCCGGCCCCCCCTCTCTTCCCTTTCTCTCTCAGGGGCCACGCTGTGGCAACTTTCACAGCCTCAGAACCTGACACCGCGCCACAATCCCATCGTAAACACACGTATTGTCGATGGGTATGTACTGCTTGGTGACAATCTTGATCAACTCCTGCGCCACCATGCCGCCCGTCAGGGCCGAGACGTTGTGGAGCTCGCCGCCCGCGGCGCGAGCCACTTCCTGAGCCGCCTGCACCACGCGCTCGTTCTGCTCCGCCCCGGGTGCCTGCTCCGCGACAACCGCGAGGATGCCGTCTGCGTTGAGGGGCTTGTCCACCGCGTGGGCTGTCGCCTGCAGAGCGAGGTAGATGGGCAGGAGGGAGAGCGGAGCCAGCGTGAAGGCGGCCGTTTCATCGTTGGCGAATTCAAGGGCTGGTGAAGTGGCGAGTGATAATGCTTGTTAGCCTGTGGACTTCTGTCTCTCTTACTCTCGCTTCTTTCCCTCCCCTCGCTGAATTCTTGACCCGCAATGGTCGAGACCAGACCACATCCACGGGGTGCAACGGGGCTGTCTGCTTACCAGCTGCTGACTTAAGGCGATCTGCCCTGCTGATCTTCGAGCTGCTGCTGCTGCCCCCTCCTCCCGTCGCATTGATCAACTTGACGAAGGCTGCGTTCTTGCAGAAGAGATCCACTTCTGCCGGATCAACGCGCTCGCCACCCGGCGCGGCCTGCACCATCTGTAGTATCTCGGCTGCATCCTTGCGTGCCTTGGCCTTATAGATGCCCTGTAGCTGGATGTACACCTTGGACTGCGCCTTCATGTCGGGCAGCTTGCCCGGAAGGGGCAAGCACTGGTGCTTCTCGTAGAACTGCTTGACGGCGTCAGCAATGAGCCAGAAGCCGGATCTCTGCTCGACCTGTCACGTCGTGTCAGCATTAGGCGAGGCCGAGAGAATGGCACGAGGACGAAGGGGGACATTTACCGGGTCCGAATGCTCGTACTCGAATACCTCCTTCAAGCCAGACGGCAGAGACGGAGGTACCAGCGTTTTCAGAACGGCAGCAGCCGCTTCGTCAAAGTTCTCCTCGCCACCTTCCGGGTTACCGGTCCTCGCTGCGTCCTGCACCACCTTTCGAAACTCGGTCTTTTCCTTGTATGTTGTGGGGTATTTCCCGTCGTGTGCCGCTTTCCACTGCTCGAGGTAGTGGAGAAGGATCACCACGTACGGCAGGTGACCATGTTCAAAATTGTCTAGACCGCCGATATCCTTGGTCAACCCCTCAGCGAAGGCAACCAGTTCGGGCCAGGGGGTCAACAGCCGAAGATCAGTGGTGGCTGTCTCGTCTGGGTGCGTGTCGACGATGGGGAAGGCTCCAGGAAGGTTAATCTGAAAATAGGAGTAGAACCCAGCTGAATGTACCGCCACGAGCGGGGTCTTGTGCTGTTGGCCATAGGCCTTGAGCTGCGAGAGCTGATCTAGGCGGATGGGGTGTGTGTAGATGATGGCTGTGAACACCGGGGAGTCGGCCAGGAGTGACTCGAGTGTTTTTACACCCTATGTGAACCACGTGAGCGCGCCATCTATGCTGCCCGTCTCATCAACCTACCTCATTGGGATACCAAGTTCCTTGGACATCCGGGTTCAGCTCTGTGATGAGATCCCTTAAGCTCTGTGACCGTGACTTGCCCAGGCAGCTGTCATCGAGAAAGAAGTTGACGCCCAAATCCGCCTCTTCCACTTGTGCCTCATCGTAAATGGCGAAGCGGCCGATGCCTTGAAGTCGGGTGTTAGCAAATGCTGCTTGGCTGCTTTCAGAGTACTGTACCTGGCAAAACAAGATTTTTCAGAGTTTCTGCACCGACTGTCCCGGCCCCGGAGTTCACCAACAGTATGTTTGCCGACTCGAGAGCAGCCTGGCCGCTAGCCGCCCATAGTCGTAGTTGTCGGTCATATTTGCGTTCCTTTTCTGAGGGCCCATGAAGGATTGGAGGGGTCTGGCTCATGACGATTTCTGTCATTGTGCTCTGAGTACGGGGGAAGTCGTCATGAAACTTCTAGTGAGGTGTGGTGCTGGTCGGACCATCACCAACTGTTTGTGCTGTCGGTGTGACTGCTGATGCCTGCCGGATGGCGGCACATGGCGGGGTGGTAGGACTCCGAATGTGGGGCCCGGCCCATTCCGTGTAAGGGCGGGCTTGGCGACCCCTGTGGCTTTTTGTGGCTTGAAACTGTTGATGTCCATCTTAGGCATCAATGAGACTTCCTCCTCATCACTGGGAAGCTTGTGAGATACGATGGAAACGTCTATTCTTCTCTTGGGGCCTTGTCTTTCAATGGAATCCCGTCCTCAAGAGTCCCGTGGTACGGTACTCAAGACACACTTTGGGCAGGAGCACGGAACCTAAAGGAGAGCCTAGATGCTCCTTCCTACGCGCTTTCAAAACACTCGAATGACAGGAGGGGACAGCCGCACTGCCTGTGGTTGTGTGGTCGTTGTTTCCGCGTCATTCTTCCGCCCTCGCGATGCCGTCTCAGCCAAGTTGGCTCGTCACAATTCTCCTGGAACGTCACAGGGAGTTACCTACCGAGATCTATCCTAAAACCTAAATGGAGCAACAACTGAATTGCAATGTCCAAGGTTGCGGTGTCCAACTCACGGGACAAGCAGTCGTGACCGTGTGTAGGTGAGTGTTGCTCGTTTTCACTGAGACCCGACTGTACAATACACCAGGTAACTAAGCCCAACACTCGCGCAGCCATGCAATCTGTCTGCAGTGCGCAAATAGCCATGGGCTTGCAGCGCAACAGGGACCGTACACTTGTCCTGTCTGTAGAGGCCCTCTGAATGCCTCGGAAATATGCGAGCAGGTCCTCGACCCCTCCGAGGAGTGGAAGTCAATCGCCCTGAGCGGCCTCAGCCCAACTGTCGTCATGGAGTGTGCTGGAAGGGCCCTGACCTTCTGGGCATACCAAACTGCAAACCAGATGTTGGTCTTCCCCGCTCCACAGCCTTGATGGGCTCTGTTGGCTTACTGGTGGAAGCTCATACCAAGTGCGAAGGAACGCCAAGTTGAAGGACTACTGCGCCGAGCTTCAGGGGGAGATTGAGAACATATGGAGCCAGGCCAACCAAAGAATCACCTCCCTGACACAAAAGATACGAGGTCTGTTCAACGTCAAGGGGGATCCTGCTGTCAGCTGCTCACGCTACCCATCACAGACATGGAAGTTGAGGAACAATCTCTCAAGCGCAGATACGAGCAGCTCCGTGTCACCTTGGAGAATCGGACCAAGGAGCTCTCGCAATCCCAAGAGCTCTACAGCAAACTCAAGCAGCGAGTGTTGCTCAGCCAAACCATGGAAGTTCCGCCCAGCGTTTCGAAATCACGAACGCCCATGAGAGCAGCTGGCATCGCAGACCCGGGCCACGGACAAACCCAATCTCAACTCCCTCGTCCAGTTGCATCCGTTAGTGCTCGAGGGGGGCCACCTGAATACTTTCCAGCCAGCCCAAAATACGCAAAGACCCAGCCCAAATCGACGGCTTTGACGGAATGGAACAAACCGACCACCTCCCAGCGTAGGATGGCCCACTGTGCCTCTTATTGTAGAGGCATCCCGCTAACCGCTCATGGGCAGAGATACCAGCTACGCCATCCAGCAACTTGCAAGTCAGAAACCCAGCGTCATTAGCCTTCACGTCAACGCCTAGATCCGGGCTTGGAACAACCATGGCCGGCCCAGGCTCCGGCAGATTCCATCGGACAGTGAGCGGCCCGCCCCTCACTGGTAAAGATGGTCCAATGGGTTTCTCGGGACCGAAGGCTGATGTCGCTGGTTTAAGACACTCCTTTGACGACGTAGACCTGGAGGTCCCGGAGGTCCCCAGGCCCCCGGGGAGGACGGAAGGTGCGTATCTGCAGCTTGGCTCATGTTGTCTATAAGATTAATAATATAAGCAGGTCTGCCAGGGCTATCTCGATTTTCCCCGCTATCGAGGGCAGCTCAGACATCAGAGCACTTCCAACCTCCGGGCCCGGTGATTCGCCGGCCTTGACCGATCTGTGTCTAGCTCCCCATGCACCATGTTTCAGTTCTTCTAGTCGAAACCGCGGTGGAAATGTTGGGAGACGGCCTGTGACAGGCCCGGAGACCTGCCGCTCAGTCTTCCGGCATCGTGGGGTCCGGCATGACGACTAGTGTGACTCTGTCTGCGACTGGCCAGAGGACATGGGATCCCACCACAGAGTGGGTTGCGAGGCTGAGTCCCCGAGATTTCGAGCCCCTCTTCAGAGGCTATGCAGTGTCACAGGCCGTGCCGCCTAGAAACCTGAATACCCTTCAAAGGAGGGCGAACCGCTCAGGTCAGCTTGGTAGTTTGCTGTGAATTTCCATTTGTTCTGCGATGTATCCTAAAAGGGGGTGTTGATGCGATCCGACGGAGATACGCCTGTTTGATCGACGAAGCTGATCGGGCGCAAGCAGCTGTTTCAGAAACATCGTGCTCCGATCACTGAGTACCAAGCGCAGCACAGGGGCGATAGAAACGATCTTGGACGGCCAAGACGGGCACGAATCTCGGGAGTCGTTGTAGGTTATACAACGCGGGGCCAGTATGTTGAGAATTCCTATATGTAAAGCTTGACCTGACCCAGGACGCAGGCGCTGCAGCAATCTAGGGAGCAAACATTGTATGAGCTGCAGACTCGATCTCTCGTGGTCTATCAAAGGCTCTGAGCTGAGCGCTTCCACTACCGTATGGTGATTGTGGCTGCGCTATGTCGTTGACTGGCAATAATGAGAGCCGCAGACATCACTGGAAGCGCTCAAAGCGCTGCTTCTGCTCGGTCAATGGGCTCTTGAGTCGAAACGATCAGAGGCAACACCTCAAACCATCCGGCGTCCGTGCATCCGGGTTATGCAGGTTTCAAGTCTAAGCAATGGTGGAGACACGCCAGCTGTCGACCATGACCAGTCTCGACACTCGAAGTTGGAGTTTCAAACATCACCAAACGCATTTTCCGCGAGCTGGTCCAACGCGAAACAGCGTAGGAACCGGCATGTGATCAATGTCGGTAACCCCGGGCAGTCTCGAGTCGAACAGTGAATTCCATGTTCAATCGAATAGCGGCCCATCGAAGCTGTCAAATTGTGTTTTACAACGTGTGTTGAGCACCATTTTGCAGGGAGGGATCGCCGAGCGCTATCTGTGGTCTTCGTTTTGAGCCTCCGAAGTATTGCTGGTATGCACGCATCTGTAAGGATCTCCACGATCTACTGCCAAGACGGCATTGGGGATCACCGAGATGCGCTGCGGTTGATTGAAACCAGGAAATCGCCAGCTAGTCCAGCAGGGGAGAGCACAGACAAGGGGTGTTTATGGCTTGTATGAGGACTAGTGAAGAATTCTGAGACATCTCCATGTGAACTCCGTTCGCCTGGTGCCAGGGCTGGGAGTCTGCCCAAGATGGGTCAGCTTGCGATATGGAGTCATTTAGACTCGCTCTACCGTGTTGTGGGTGATGGATGTGAGACTCAACATCGGATTATTCTGATGCTAAAAGGGGGGGTGGTAAGACCACGGTTGTTGATATCGTGAGGTTTCCCTCAGATGCGTTCTATATAACGGGACTGGCTGACGGTCATTCAAAGCATATTTACCTCCATCATCATCAGCGTTACCGTCCAGGGGACAAACGGGCATCAAGTCATCAATTCCCTTCTCTCTTCCTCCTGCAGGACAGGATTTTGATACCATTTACTACTTTTTTTTCTCTTTAGTTTCTGCTCACTTCAGACAGAGCCCAAGATGACCTGCTCCAAGATGCTCGTCACCCTCTCCCTCCTAGCCGCAGCTAGGTTTGCAGCTGGCCACGGCGCCATTATCGCGGCCGTTGGCGACGCTGGCGGGTCGGGCATGGCCCTCGGCGTCGACACAAGCACTCCGAGGGATGGCACTCGGCGTAATCCATTCCAGCAGGACTCGACCCGCTTCCGGGGCGACGCTGCGGATACGGTCGGCGAGACTCTTGCGGGCGGCGACAACCAGCTCGAGGCTGGCACCCAAGCCATCCTCGCCGAGACGGGCGATTCCCTGCCGCAGGTCACTCCCGGCGGCGAGCTACAGATGACACTGCACCAGGTCAACTCGGATGGAGCGGGTCCGTATACGTGCATGATCAATGCGGACGGCACGGCCCAGACTTGGTATGTATTGTTCCATCATTGTTGTAGGCACAGAGAGGGTTCTTGGCTGTGTCTTCGCACTACCCTACCCTCCCCCCCCGAAAAAAAGAGAAAAATGAGAGAAACAGTTCCAACAGCATCAGCATCCAGAGAACTGACGATATGAACCCCACCAGGAATAACATTCAAGTCACCCAAAACGTCCCAGGCCGCAACTCCCGCAACCGCGTACGTCTTCCTAACCACCTCCATTCCCTCATCCTTTAACTCTCCACCTACCTGCTGCCCTCACAACCAGACAACACACCATCAATCACCTGTTTAAACTAACATGGACAAACCAACCGCCCAGGACGGCGAAGCCACCGACTTCCCCCTGACGGCCTCCATCCCAGCAACCCAGTCCTGCACCGGAACCGTAGCAGGCCAGGACAACGTCTGCCTGGTGCGGTGCGAGAACTCGGCCCGGGCAGGTCCCTTTGGCGGCGTCGTGCCCGTGCAGCTGATCGACCCCACTGCTGGTGCGGGTGCGGGTGCGGGTGCGGGTGGCAACGGCACTGACGCCGCTCGCGCTGCCGCCGAGACTGGTGCCAATGCCAGGAGGAGGAGCGCTCGCAGGGCGCTGGCGAGGCGCGTCAAGGAGAATGAGATGAAGCTTGCCCGGCTGCGGACCAGGGCCGTGGCGCTTGCGCAGGACCTGGGCGATCCGGATGTGATTGCTGAAGTGATGGAGGACTGCGAGTAAGGGGCAGGGTTACTGTCGCTAGCTCAAGGTGCTTGGATTCCATCACCCAGCTTGTGTCGATGGATGGCGGTCTTTCCTGGTGCTGTTCTCTGATGAGAAGTGATGGACGTTGTCTCTGGGGAATGCATTTTAGTTGGCTGGAAGATAGCACGGTTTAGGTTGGACGGCAGAGCTGGCTCAGATGGAAGTGTGGGAGGGAGGATATTACCGTTGTGATTTTTTGTTTACTACTACGCTCATTTTACAATGATAATAGGCACACACCTTTGGAACAACAATAAATAAGACCACGACTTCTTCTCAAGTTTACTCCTCATCACAGCACCTTCGGACGTCCGCCTCTTTCTTCATTTCCAAAACTCACCAGTCACTCTATTGGCTTCCCACGCACCTGTCCAAGCCAGCTGACCGTCGATACAGCCTCTTTGACATCTCTGCGTGAGTTCGCACGTGGTTTCACTGCCAGTTTACTCGAAGATATAGCGTGGATTGCTCTTCGGGTTTGGCAACGGCGCATTCGGAGACCTCGAGAATGAGGCTGGAGATGTTCAGTAGCGTTCGTTTCGAATTTTGCCCCGTTTCTGGATATATCTCTGAGTGTATCTCTATTTACTGCGCGTAGAGAAATATCGTTGTCTCCTGTCTTCAACATTAGTGCGACTGACTGGTTCCAGGGGCCGTATCTTGCTGCAAGTCGACCGTGTTGCCCGGGCCACGACGCGCAGAGTCGAGTTGTCCAGCCGCAGACGTAAATATCCCCCGCGTTCCCTATTCTGGCTCTTCCATCTGTTCTTCTCGCTTGCTCTCTTTCGATCCCCTGGTCTGAACCTGATCCTGTCAATCGCCCGTCCGACAGCATGAGTACGTCCCGTGCCCTACTATCACCCAGACGGTCGCAATGCAAGCTATCGGCAGCAAAGCATTATGCAGACTGCGAACACCTCCAACCAACCTATCCAACCGAGCTATTGGAGACGAGCTGGCCCAGTTGGACAACGCAACCGCCGGCCCAGTGGCAAGCAACGCATCACCAATTACGCCGAAACAGCATTGGCCAGCAACAACCTGCCACGACGGACAAGCCACTGTGACGGAAGAGCAGCCGATTTACGTCAACGAGAAGCAACTTCATCGGATTCTTAAAGGAGAGCCGCTTGAGACAAGCTCGGAGTACAAGCGTGACCAGAGCGGTGCAAGCCCTATGCCCACGAAATGAGGCATACTCACGTCGTAAAAAGACCGGGAGGGCCTAGAGGACGCTTTGTAGAAACCGAAAAATTGCGAGGCTGAGGACGGAGATCGCAGGGGCAGGGAGTGAGCCGGGCAAGGGGGTGAAGATCGACAACAAGGGCATGGGAGAGGCGATGGCGAATCCAAACGATCTTGATTCATGTTTCGGGCTTTGGCACATCAATTTTTTCCTTCTCTGGTCTGGTTGTATGTGTGTGTATCTGTGTTGTAATGACGAGGCCACTTAAACTTCTCACCTTCTCTCTACTGCGATCTCTTTCCTTTCTGCTATTACTTGTTTCTCAAAGCCCCCTCCACATCTACCATCCAGTCATACAGACTTCTTGAATACCTTTCCCCCATGGCCCATGGCACACATCGAGACTCCCTCTTTGGGCCGACCAGATTGGCTCTTCGAATTACCCTCATGGATCAAGCGGGTTGGAGAGCTACGCAAAGAAATCCGGGACAAGCAGGAATTTGCGGACGGCACCTACGACGGTGACATCCAGTGTCGTTTCACGGCTCCCTATAAATGTATAACCCAGTGCAACGTATCGTTGTGAAGGTCGGCGTGGAGGCTACGAAGGATGCGGAGGAGGAATGCTCTGGATGCTGGAAGCTCGCCCCAGTCGCCCGACACCGAAATATACAACACGCTCACGTCTATGAGAGAGAAGTGCGAGACCACAGGGCACCGATTTCTGAGAGAACCATGGAAGTACAACGGCAAGGAATTAGACGACATCGTGCGGCTCATGGAACAGCTTCACGGCAATGCTACGGACGGCGACGTTGGTCTGGTTCCTTGGGAGCACACGGCGAGAAGGCTTCGGTGAGTGCGGACGGGGAAGGGGCGGAGTAGCCACCATGTAAAGACGACAAAGGGTTTGCAACCGAGGTCATTAGAGCATGGGATCGAGTTGAATACTCTTGATGGGCATGACTGTTAGATGGTTAATCCAGCTTGACCATTATTAACTCGCCGGGGCATTGGGTCGACTTGCCTGACCAGACTCTCTGCGGCTTTTGCAATACTACTTACGTAAAGACGCACTGTCGCAGTTTTCGGGGTTGAGGGAACATGTAGGCTACAGAAACTGCGCAGAGAGGAAAAACGAGGTTGACCATCTGGGCTGAATTGACCGGCAATTGCCGCCGCTTGCTACGTCTTGTGTCGACCTCGATTGACTGTATTCCCTGGGCTCGGCATCCTTATCAGGACTTTCCCGTCCCAATCAGGCCTCCCCCCTTCACCAGCTTGACATCCGGAACCATACGGCCTGCATCATCTCCGGTAGTATCCATTCAAGTGCGTTGCTTTCCATCGCCCATCACCATCAGCAACCGGTACGAGCGTTCGTATGACCCTTTCTCTGCATTCTCACTGACGAGTTTATTAGGCACGCCCGCCGGACGCTGTCCGTCGAACGTTTACCATTCTCTCTGAAATTTGGCGGAGGGAGTCTCTGGAGTCCCCGAACGGAGCTGCCCAAGTCTGTGCCCCTTCGTACAATCTCTGGTTTAGTTGCTCACTCCGAGGTCGCCGGCAGGAACCCAAAAGCGGAATCGCTCCATTACATTCTGGCTGCCTCTACTCTTCATGACGGCACCGAGAAGTTGTTCTTTCTTTCGAAATCCTTGTGTGTCGCAGATCCACACGACGTGGCCCCGCGGGCAATTGGCCGTCGTCTTCCAACAGCCCCTCAGATCAAAGATTTGTTTTGTTCACATATATCGGGCCAATCTTCGTTCGATGCTATGTAACTCTGTTCAGCGGGTAAGACGGATATACGTTGGATTAGGCAGTAACTAGATATATTCCGAATTGCTCTACGGTATTGGGCCAAGCTGGGTTACGAATCGTGGGTTCACGACAAGTACGTCAGTCCGCAGCTCGCCCCTGAAGCGAATTAACTAACCGTATATAGCTATTGGATTGCATGCGTCGGTTGCTGTGCTATGGTTGACTGTCAACGTTCAACCTCCTATGGCCACCTCTCCGACGATCACGATCTTAATCGGGCGCGAAAATATGTGGAGCTGTTTGTGAGAGTTGTCCAGCATCTTCGGGACCGTGTGGAAAAGACAGTAGCAGACTTCGAGGTAGATGTTGAGCTCGGGGCGGCCGTGGACCTTATGAAACCTGCGAATCTCGAGCTCGACTAGACCTCGCTTGCGAAGCACCCCGAAATCTTCTAGCACTGCGGGAGCTTGAGAATCATCAGCTTGTCTGTCCGAATCCCCACCTGACTAACTTCCGTGAGGCTGTGGGCCTTGAAGTTGCACATCTAGGACGGAGACGCAGAGCTGAAGCCGTCAAAGTTCGAATTATGTAGCTAAACCAAGGATGTCGCCACAAGCTAGGAGCGGAGAAAGGTATTGTAACGTATGACCCGCTCTGGCGGTATGGGTCCAGTTGCAATTTGAGGTCTCGTGGCGTCTTTGAATCCCAGATTGGAGGTCGTCCTTCCTGGGACGCTCTAGGGTACGTAACCGACTGATCTTTCGGTGCCGCACCGGATCTGGGAAAAGAGCTTCGTCTTATGTTAGCTGTGGAAATTGCGAGAGAGACGCTTGCAACGGTTCTTCAGCGGGGATATAACTCAGCTCTGGCGTATCTCTATGTATACCTCGTCTTTGGCTATCACCTTGCTGTGGGCGACAATGTGTACTTTGGATTCGATCATCCCTGGTCGACGATAGCGGTGGGACTCAATTCATTCCCGATTTCGGATGATGCTTACTATCGAATTCAACAGGGCGTCCCTAGAAGGGTCCTGCGGCCTCTGCCTGAGGACTGTTGTATAAGAGGGCTTTTCTGGGCTGAGCGGTACTTTTCATTGAACCTCTTTTCTAAGGAGATGCTTAACGGGCGATATATGCACCGGAATGATCTGGAAGTGGACTCTGAGGAGCGGAAAGAACAATGCTGATTTCCGACCTTGAAAATAGTAGGACGATGTTCTCTTCAGTTCTGTCCCGAGCGCAAGGAGTTTAGCGCGGAAAGCTAGTCAGTTATCGTTTGGGTGTGCGAGGGTGGTGGCGGGTGAAAAATGAGAAGAGGATTGATGTCGGCTTGGGAAGATGTTGGATTTCACCTATTTCTTTGTCGCTTTAGAGGCTCTGTCGCCTGACGCTTGCGATGTGCGTTGGCCTATGGACCGCGCGCCACGGTTCTGCCGTGTCTTTTTGTTAGAAGTGATGGCACTTGAAACTCGGAAACTGAGTTGCTGGTGCTATACCCTGGTCAGGGGTAATACACAGTTGTTACTAAGGCCTGGGAGTGTTGGACAGCAACAGTTACACGCTCGAATAGGCATAGACCAACCAGGTGACACTGCATCAATTGAGGCACAAGATGAAGCTTGGATTGACTGTCTGAACCATGCGTCATGTGTGTGTGTTGCTTGAAAGAACCGAGGGCTTCGGGACCCTCGCCAGACCCTGCTTTTGGGTGGTTACGAGTCTTCCACGCTTACTGCATTGGGCAACAGTGCCAAGCCCCTGAATCCAGGTGCCAAGGAGCCAGTTCAGTTCAACAGGGAGGGACCCAGGCAACTTAGAGGAGAGGGACAGAACTCTCAATTGACAGGCTTCAAGGCTGCTCCCAGGGCACTCGAAAAATTCACTGTTTTAAAAGGCTCCCATAAAGCGTGTCACTGTGAAATCGTGGCTGTTGGGTTTCCAACACTTTTGCGCGCCGTAGCCGGTCCGAAGCTGGCGCCTTCGGACTGCAGTCGGGAATCCACGCGCCTATAGCTCTTTCCGCGGGGATGGGTGACACTTGCTGATCCGCCTCGGTGCTCATTGCGTTGAAAATATGTGGCTGGCTCTCGCATGCTAGCCTTAGAAACCAAGTACTAGAGCAAATAGAGATCTCTATATAGGTATTGGAGGGAATGTTGAGTGGCTACTAGTGGTATTTCCAATGAATATTGTTTTAGGTAGCATATCCAATAATGGGAACTATAGCGTTTAGTGGCTAAGGTAGGCAGCGCTTCGTCAAAGAGCCTTTATATTGCAATTAGCACTGAGACTTAGATGATGTAGCAATTAGTCCTTTGTTATCATCCATGTAATATATAGACTATTATTATTATTCCTATACCGTTATGCCTTAGGACTCGCCGGACTCTCTACTACTAATATGTACAAAGGAAAACTATGCGTATAAGGCTGGACTAAAAACTTCTATCTACCCTATGCTAGTCTAGAGTCCTGAATCCATCTGCTAGCGAAAGAAAGGCGTAGATGGCTGTCTAGGCCATCTGTAACGATTCCAGGAGTATATTGCAACTAGCTGGCGATGTGTGACGAATCTCAAAGCCCCAACTTCTGAAAGGGACTCCTGAAGGTTTAATTTGACAACGGGGTGAGGTTCGGTGAAGCCAAAGGGTTCACAACAAGCAATGTCCAAAGGTACCGACAATCTTGCACTTGAGTTGCTTACTGGAGAACTCCCAGAGTCCTCCAGAACGAGTGACTATATACTCGGTAGAGCCTTCATGATCGCCCATGATCGCAGTCTACCAAGAGCTATCCTTGATCGCCTTGGGTAGCCAGCTACCCAAGTCTACCCTTGATCGCCCGGCCCCCACGGCTACCGTGTGGGCCTCGTGCGGTTCCTGCAGTTCTGTCTTGTGCCCCACTGGGCCTGTACATATGGTTGGTTCGTGACACGATGTCTCTACGAGTTTATCTCGAATGGAGAGAGAAGAAGAAAAAGAGTGAAAGACTATGCAAGATATCTGCCGTCTTATCCTCCACATCCTTGGCCTGTGCGCCGATATCGAACAAGATAGAAGTCCACCGAATCTCGAGTCTTGGCCGAGAGTTTGCCGAGGCCTTTACGGGCCAAGCCCGTTACATTTGTAGTCCTTGGAAGTGGTTGCGGATACTATTGCAGGCCTCCTCGACTAGCAGGCCCAGTGTGAGGATACGTGCACAACCAACCCACTCAGCTATGTCGTATCTCCCTAAAAAAGGGTGTCGAATCGCAAGTCGCTCCGACCATGCGATCCTGTGGGTTATATGTGGGTCACAGCGCAGCTGCCCACACTGCGCTCTGACATCCCCCTCGTTCAACCCGAGGTTCGCCCTCGAACCTCACCCCCTGCGTAAGCCCCGCACAGTCAGCATCATCCTTGTGCCCGCGGCCGGCCCCGCCCAGAGCTGTGAGCGAGCATCTGTCCGAGGAGCTCGGCGAGCTGGGGATGCTCCACATAGAACACCGGAAAAACCTGTCCTGGTTTTTGCCAACTGCAGGGCTCGAACCCACAGCCTGGTTGACTTGCGATTGTGAGGATACGTGCACAACCAACCCACTCAGCTATGTCGTATCTCCCTTAAAAAAGGATGTCGAATCGCAAGTCGCTCCGACCATGCGATCCTGTGGGTTATATGTGGGTCACAGCGCAGCTGCCCACACTGCGCTCTGACACCCAGTTGCAGGCCTTAATGTCAGCTGGAAAAGCTGAAGAGTCAGGAGGGTAGGCTTCTGAAGCTTGTCTTTGAAGTCGACTAGCCTCTTATTGAGATAAAGATCTAGTGGAGGAACTCACATTTCGGCCTCAAGGTATCGGGTTGGGGTAGCATTATAGAACCCAGCTACTATCCATAGCCTCCTATTCTGGGCCTTCTAGAAGTCTTTTGCAATGTTATAGTTGACCTCCAATAGGGGTAGGCTATATAATATATAGTATTCTATGACGAATCTCAAGCCTCAACTTCTGAAAGGGACTCCTGAAGGTTATACTTGACAACGGGGTGAGGTTCGGTAAAGCCAAAGGGTTCACAACAAGCAATGTCCAAGGGTACTGACAATCTTGCACTTGAGTTGCTTACTGAGGAAGCTACAGTGATGCCCAGAGGCCTAAAGATTGTAGACTATATACAGCTTCCTCCCCCAGGTACCTCCGTATCTGCGATCACTGCGATCACCTTCTTGGCGGTGATCTTAGTGAGCCGCTCACCACGCCCACTCCCTTAGTGGTGATCCTGGTGAGCGGCTCACCGCGCTCACTTCCTTAGCGGTGATCCTTCTTGCAGGCCCCATCTCAGCTCTCCCCTGGTGTTACGCCTCTTCATTAGCTTCCATCGCCCCACTAGGCCTCAATATATGGTTAGTACGTGACACATTCTCAATCTTTTTCAGTAATAGTTAAATCATAGCTATGGATTATCTCAATTTAAAATATAATCTATAAAGCATTTAAATTAACTTAGTTAACATTATCTGTCTTTAGATAAATATATAGGCAGAATAAAAAAAAGGCTTATAGAAATCTAATTTCATTATACTTGATGTTAAAGAATAGGCAGGATAAGTCATATAAAGATCTAATGATACAGATTTTTAATTTCGAGTTCCTAAGTATTGCTTTTAAAACTCCAGTTTTTTTTACCACCTTTCAACTTCTCTTCTAGCTACTTTCTAGGCTAACCGAGACGAAGTATATACAACACATCGCTTCATCCGAAGTCACGCGTTGTTCAATACCCTGTAGCTCGATCTTCGTTGGTGCGCATCGGGAGAGCCATATCTGTTAGAACACTATAGGCTATATCGACACAATACTGCTTAGAGCTAGGGAGTACCTAGAGCTAATCCCCCTGGTACGCGGTGCAAGACACGCAGAATGCAGCTACTTGTCCTACACCGGCAATTAAGTCCATCTGAGGCGCATCGGGCCCCCTGTGGTTTTCGCCATTGAATGTGGGCTCCATCTTCTCCCAACAAACACAAAATCGGCGGTCGGCAACCCTAGAGTGACTGGGATGATCTCTCGGCACAAGGTCTCCGGGATACATATCCCAGAGATTGCTCGCTGCTTTACTCGCGGATTTTGTCACTCTTCAACACCGTACTCATCCTTATTGAAGAGGAGTTTAGAGGGCTAACGGGTTGTACACGAGCTTGCGACCTGGGCCCATTCCTCTCCAAGCATATCTAGCCGCTATCGGTCACGCGTGCTAATTCTTACTGCCCAACGGAAGCATGATTCTTTATGGATACCCACGCGCCTCATCAACCGCACAAGTCTATCGACAGTGGTGGTATCTTATGCAGTCCCACAACCCCACGCCATGCAACTCCGTCTCGTCAAGCATAAACATTCGAGATCTCACGTATCCCAGCTAACCCCTCTCTACAACACCGCATCCGAGAATTTGTCCTTCACCGGCGTCGACGGTCCTTGTCTCTGCGACATGCTGTAGGGTGCCTGCAATTCCCGTAATCAGCCATCCGCCAAGCCATAATAGAACTTCGAAACAAGTAGGGGAGGAAAAACTTACAAGCACCTCCTTAGCGCTGCATATCCGCCAAGCGAGCTTTCTCACATTCCCATCCGCCGGCACGACCGCCGGCGCGAACTCGACACCAAACATGTGCTGAATGGCGTATACGACCCTCTTGGCATACTTGCTATCCCTTTCGACATGGGCGCCGAACCGCTCCTCCACGGTGGCCGGCGCAATATCCGGGTCGCGGTCGAGGCAGTTTCGGACAATGGGCAGCAGCGCGGCCTCGACCTCGGCGGCGCCGACGACCCCGGCGTCCTCGTCGTCCACCTTGGCCAGCCGCACCTCGAAGGGCTCCGAGATGGACATGACGTTGTGGCCGCCACCATGGTGGTACCGGAACTCGAAGACGCCCTGCGTCCACCACAGCTTGTCACCCTCAAACACCATGTCGCCCTGGACGAGATCCGTCTCGGTCGCCGGCTTAGACGTGGAAACCGGTTGGTCCCACGACAAAATGCCTTGGTCGGTGGTGGTGTCGTACTCGCCGGGACACGTCGGCACCCAGCGGCCTAGCGTCGGGACCTCGGTGACCTCGCGAGACCGGTTGTCCGTAACCATGTACAGACCGACCCAGTCCTTCTTGCTGTGGTTGGCCGGCGCGGTCCACTTGACACGGATAGGAGCGCCGTACTCAAACACCTTCGTCTTGACATCCTTGGACACACGAGCGCTGGCGCTTTCTTTCCCGGTCGCCTTTTCGTCGGCAGCCACCAGTGGCGTTCCCTCCACGGAGATTGTGTAGTGCTTAGGGTCGTAGCCGGCGACGTCCGGCGAGATGCGGCTGAGAGTGAGACGTGCAGGATACATGTTGAACAAGGCCGAGGTATCCCTGACGATAGTGGAGGATCCCGCGGCCAGTCTGGTGCGAGCGACGTCGACAAAGTCATCGATAAAGTGCTTGGAGTCCTCCCATACCTTGTCGACACTGTCCTGCAGGCCCTTGACGGGCTGGGGAAGCGAGCGCTTGATGAACTTGGTCAGGCCAGCCTCCTTGCGCAGGTTCTCGCCGTAGATCTTTTGCATGTGCGGCTTCTCGACGTACGAGATGAAACCGAGCGTCAGAATATGGCTGATGAGAGCGGTCATAAAGATAGCACTGTTCCAGGTGATGAGCGCCATACCCCACAGCCCAGCTGTGCCAATGACGCGCTCCGGGTTGTTGAGGAAGCGGTAGATGGACCCGTACGTCAGTTTGCCCGCGCCGTCGAAGAAGAAATCACCGTAAAACCAGCCAAATTCGCCCAGGGAGTCGTAGATGCTGGTCGCGGTCCAGACCTGGAGGGCCACAAGGCTCAGGCCAACAACATGTTTCAAAAGAACCCAGCCGTAACCCCAGTCCTCCGGGTAGGTGTACATCTTCCAGCAGGCAGCGAGGAACGAGGCATGGCACAGCGTCATGCTGAAATGGTACATGCTCTTCCACTGCCGCCAGGCCTCTGTGGGAGTCTCACCGTATTTCAGGAAGTGCCTAGTGAACATCTTTTCGTTGGACTGCTTGGTCAGAACGACGCCGAGGCCGACCGAGTACCACAGACGCCAAAAGAGGGCGTTCAAGACAAAGAGGGTCTGATAAATGGGCGTGTCAGGAGTTGCCAGAGCGAGGGCGGCCAAATAGCCGACGAGGAGGAGGGTAGCGTAATCCGTGATGCGGAAAGGGTCGAAGTTCTTTAGGCCCAGAAGATTGTGGACAGGTACAGGTGTGGAAGGGGCTGCCGGCGTTTTCTTTGACGAGCCAACGGTAGTCTCGGACCGGCTGCTAACCTCAGACTCAGCACGCTGACGGGGTGGCGGAGGGTTGTAAGTCTTCTCAATGTGAGGGTTCTCGACGATGGCCAGGAAAGCAAACTGGGCGGCATGTGCGAGAATGGAAATGAAGAGCACGTCGTAGCTTGCGGCCATCATGGAGATGCCGTAGTACCCAGCATAGCCGATGGAGTACATGGGATGCGGGGCCATCTCGAAGACACCGTCAAAGGTCAATTCCTGCTCGATGAGGTAGAAGAAGTCTGGCAATGTCAGCGTCGAGGTAATGGGCAACGTCCAGAGGGGACGCGTCTGCTTACCACCCCAGTACCAGGCATAGTCCTTGACGACTCGGTGTGCATCCAGCTTGACCCACAGGTTGAAGCCAACAAGGGCAATGCCAATGCCCCACCGAGCAAAGGCCATGAGAAATCCCTCGCCCGCCGGTTTGTGGGCGCAAACGATGGCGAACAGGCAGTATGAGACAAAGTCGCACATAAGGATGAGATCGACAATCCGGCGGAACACAAGCCAGGCGTTGTACTCGATGGGTGCGTGGGCCATCTTGTAGTCCTTGGGGATCTTGGCCTCGAGCTCGCGCTGCAGCAGCTGGTACAGCCATGGGCGCGGGTTCTTCCCGTTCGACGGTTTCTCGAACAGCTTAAGGCGCCTGGCCCATGTCACCATGAGCTTGTACTTGGACTGGACGGTCAGGAGGTAGCCTATCCCAACATTGTACGAGGCCCTCCAGAAGAGGAAGACAAGGGCGAAAATAGGACGCTTGAGACTCGAGGGTAGCGCGTATGCGGCCCAGATGTGGAGGGCGAGGATGGAGAGCACCAGGACGTCTGAGAGATTCTTCGGTTCGCGGGGGTCTAGGAGCTGCGAGACCATGTCGTGCGTCTCAGGGACGACGAAGACTATGCAGGCACGAGGGGTCAGCCTTCTGTCACAAGCTCTGCTCCAACTGAGAGGTGGAAACTCATACCCGTCCCGTCTGGAGTGCGGCCGTACGTCCTCTTGGTACGGGCCTCTCCATCTTCCCGAGTCTCAGGCTCAGGCCCCTCAGCAGAGTGGGATCTGGCATCGGTCGTGGTGGAGGGTGTTCGAGCGCGGTGACGGACACTGTTGAGCCCAGCGGGCGCGGCTGTTGACGTGTTCATTCTCGGGTTCGGTGTTGAAGACCGAATTAGCCAAGACAAGCGTTGAGCTGTAGGAGCATCAGCCGTACTGCTGGACGATTGTAGGGAGGAGGGAGAGGAGTGGAAGTAACAGAGGGGTCGAACGGATCAGTGTGGTCAATTGGCTGGTGTGATCCCCGACTGCGCAAACCAAGGAGCCAACCAATCTCGTAACGCCAAGACAGTTCAAGCTTGCCGTGCCGTCGCAGTGTGTGGTGGTCCGACGGCACGTTCTCGAAAACGACGTCACACAGAAGATGGCTGCTCACGTTTCGCCGCTTGCGAATGCAGTGCTGCGAACGGCTTCAGATGGAATTGGCCAGGCTGGCAAATGTTGACTAGGGTTCTCAACTTTCATCCACATGCCCAGCGGAGCATTTTGTGGGTTCCATGGGATTTCCAGTCCCCCACGATCGCCAGGAGTGGGGTGTGAAGTGGGATCATCCCCGACATCTTCACAGTACCGTACTTTGTAAGATATATAGGGCATTGCTTTGCGGTTTCATGTTGTTTCTAGACATTGAGGTAGCTGTTTGATATCGTTATCTCTTTTCAAATTTCGCAATAGCTTCTAGGATAAAATACAATCAAATTTATTAATCGAAGCTATAAGTTCTGATAATAAAAATGACTAGTTTAAATAGATACAATGTGCTGTTATGCCTTTAATACCATCGATACATATAACGTTATTTGTATTAGCCGAATGACTGCCTATAGCTTTATCATTACTTAGCTGAAAAGGTGAATCCTGGATTGCTAGATAGAAGGAACTGCTGGGAGCGCCCGAGCGGCAACTAAGCTGCTCGGACGCAGCATGAGAGCGGATGCCTTACATATTGAATAGCGCAGAGAGACCGCTTGCCCTAAGTAGACAGGGCGATTGCCCATATAGTATAAGATCAACATATATATATATCTGTAAAGTCTCATTATATTTAACGAGATTATTATAGCGTGTTTTATCAGCGAGTGCACCATATCAGCGAGTGCACCACTGGTAAGGGGCTGCACAGACACTTAGTCGAAGTACTAACAGCTTATTCCCCGCTTATTCCCGTCGTTAGTGCTGCACCCAAATATATATGCAGCCCTTACCAGTGGTGCACTCGCTGATGTGGTTCATTCGCTGATAAAACACCGTATATAACTACCCATTTTCCTTTAGACGAGGTTCCGCCCTGCAGTGTTACGTGCACTTATTTCCTCCTCGGCTTGTCCGCTTTATGAGACTTGATGGAGAGGTGTTGTTGGCTGGGTTGATCAACACTTACATGCACCCGGATCGGACGTGCGTTAGCTTCATGTTGCCCTATGGTCCATGGATTTAAGAAAATGATATGAGAGAGATCTGATCCGACGATCTTCTGGGGCTTGTTATGGCTAGGCTCTAAGTCAGATCATAAGAAGATATCATTGCCAGACTCGTGCGTGAAGATAGAACCCAATAATGACCTGCCCAACCATACCGCAGACCGCTTTTGGCTCTTTCCCATTCTGGATTCCACTGACCCTCGGTGCCATGCCAAATGTCGCCAGCCGACTCGCCGTGCCGTCCGCTCAAGCGGCCTTCTTCGCGAACTCCACCCTTAGAATCAAGTGCCTGAAACCAAAGCCATCCATCTTGTTGCACGCCTTGACAGCGTCGTCGCGATCCGCAAAGCTGATGAACGCAAAGCCCTTAGCCAAGCCAGTGTCGCGGTCCTTGGCCAGGAAGACGCGGGTGACGCGGCCGAACCGCTCGAACATGTCGCGCAGCTCTTGCTCTTCGGCCATCTCCGAGACCTGTCGATCGAGAAAAATACAAGGTTAGCATGACCCTATCCAAGCGAAGAAAGCGAAGCGGTGCAACTCACGTTTGTAACCCGGAGCGTGGCCAGGTCGTCCCGCTCGCCATACTTGCCACCCATGGTCTCGCCCCGGGCACCGGCCCGATCGCCACGCAGCGCAGGCGGAACATACGAGCCCTTCTTTCCAGGGCCGGCGGCCCCCGTGGCGGCAGCAGCCGCAGCGCTCGGTTCGTCGCCCATGCCCGCCGCTGGGTCGACAGCGCCCGCCTCGCCGATGGGCGCCATGGTGTCTTTGTACGGGCAGCGCGCGGTAAAGTGCTCGCCGTTGCAGATGCGGCACTTGACCTTCTTATCCTTGAGCTTGTCCTTCATGGCCTGGGCATTGGGGTCGTTGGCTTCGTCCTTGGCCTCCTTGCGCCAGTTGACCGAGGGCACGAAGATGATGTTTTCGCCGACCGTGGTGGTGCTGGGGTTTGGTCCCGGCGAGTCGCTGGCCGCGTCGCCGAACTTGGCCCACGTCCTGCGCTCCGCTACGCGTGGGTTGACGACCTCGCGCCGCACCACGTAGCGGACGCGCCGCGTCCTCTTTACTTTGTTGCCGGCCTCATTGTAATAGTAGTCGATGATGGTCCATGTCCCGTCCTTGTTCTGGATCTTTTGCTGCGGCGGCAGATCGGTTGTCGTCGTCTCCTCTAGCTCCTCGTCGTCCGCCCAGTCGTGCCTGCAAAGACAGAACGTCAAAGGGGAGCCTTTCTCAAAGCGGTATAGTCTCAGTAGGCTTACTTTGTTTGGGTCGCCATCTTGATGTGCTTTGCGATGGAGGTTGTCAAAGTTTATGATGGTGGGGGTGAGGAGGAGCCGGCCGAGTTTTCGGCTGGATATTCGGGTGTGGGGCAAAAATTGGTGCACAAATCACTCTTAACTGTACATCCGTCTTCCGTATCCGTACTTCCAACTTTAAAAAGGTATGGATTATTGGTACAGCAACAATTGATCAACGCTGCAGATGGCACGAACACTCAATCGGCAAGCGACAAATACAAACTAGATGGGAGACACTCTTTTATATAAATATTTAGGTGCACAGATTCGTGGCTCTGGAGCTCAGGTTTGGATCCTGCGAACGACTAACGTACTTACAATACATGGCTTCACCCAGTCTGCACGACGTAAGTATGTACGGATCCGTACATACAATACAATCCAGCCCTGGTTTGTGCGTGAGCGTGGCACATGGCGGGCATGACCTTGGACATGGGTGTAATGAAAGGAATCAAGAAACTCAAGAAAACTTTACTAAGAAAGAGAAAGGAAAAACAAGAGAAAATCATACAAAACACAGGAAGAGAAATAATAAGAAAACAAGGGAAAAAAAAAGGGATATAAAGACAAGAAGTAAGATAAGAGGAAAGCAGAAAAAAAACAAAGAGGAAGAGGAATAGGAACATGATTAGGCGAGGAAAGAAGGAAAGAGGAAAGGAGGGGAAGAAAATAAGGCGAACAAAAATATCAAGGAATGTGAAAAAAACAAGCAAGTGGAAAAGAATAATGAAATACCAAGAATAAAGTATAAAAGAAAAGGAAAGAAAAAGACAAGTATAAAAACAATGAGGAAGAGAAAGAGGAATAGGAAAGAAGGAAAGAAGGAAAGAAGGAAAGAAGGAAAGAA